AACAAGAATCACAACTTCCCTTAAGTTTTTATCTGCATATATCTTAATGTTATTTTAACTATACTATAGCGAATCAATTAGGATGGTTATGTTTATTTTTACTGCTATTAGCCATGTAAAGAGTTTTCAAGCTAACCGCTGGACCGATTTTTAAGTTCGATGATTTTTGTTTAATTATTAACTAATTAATTTAATTAAGTTTAATTAATTCTTGTTTTATTTTTTATCATTCTTTTATGTTTTATTTTACTATATATTTTGCATTATACCGTATTTCTTTTAATAGTAATTTTCTTTATTGTGATCAGTTCATATTATTTTGTTTCTTTTTGAATTGGAAACTTGTTTAGGCGCGTTTTGTACTTTTTTATGGAATGTCAATTAGATTGAGCCGACAAATTGAAGTGTTTTCGCATATGAATTAAAATATCTCAAAAACTAATAATCGAACCTGCATATCGTTAGCGAGTGAAATGTTCATAATTCGATCCTCTTTATAATGATCTATTATTCAAAATTTTATGTTAGGTGTAGCCGTGTCTATTTTTCCCACCAACAACTATAACGCGAAAGGAAAAAAACAGTGTCGACAACCAAATGATAACGAGTTTTATTGAAGATATGGATTGAAATATCTCAGAAATTAAAAATCGGACCTGCACACTGTAAGCCAGGGAACTGTTCAGCATTTCATCATATCTATTATGGCTTATTATTCAAAATTGTATCTTAACGCGGTGCTGCACAGAAGGACGAGTAAGGGAAAACTCGCGACATTGGCTAAATCAATTTTTTTTTTTTCCAGTTGAACTATTCAATAAAATCAGTGAAAAATGTATATAGTTCCAACTGAAAATATTCTCGGAAACCCCACGAATAACACTAAGATCAATAAAAGTTATAGATTTGAGTCAAAAAAAAGATTGAAAGGATTTAGACAGATTCAAATAGATGTCGTAAATTTTCCCTAACTCGTCCCACTGTGCGAAATATCAGAGAAGCAAAAAGGAAAAAAATAGTGTAGGAAATCAAATGATAAAGAGTTTTATTGAAGATATGGATTAAAATATCTCAGAAATTAAAAATCGGATCTGCGTACAGTAAGCGAGGGAATTGTTCATCGTTTAATTTCTTTATAATGAGTTATATTTATGATGTATATTTCATATTATTAATCTCGCCTTCTTGATGTTTTCACTTCTATCTTGTTGTCTAAAGTACATAACTTAGTTGTTTTTTATATATTGTTTTCTAATTTAGTTGTTTCATCAAACTAACATTCCAATTGTATGATTGTACTGGAAAAATGCAACATGCAGCAGAGTGCTTAATGAAAATAGGCATGGCGCAAGTATCACTTAATAAACTATCCTTCCTTGGAATTTTCATAGAGGGAAATTGATAATATTTAGGTGTATATATTTTAAAGTACGGTAGTAATAAAAATTGTATTACCTAAAACAGAGATATATTATCTACGTATTTACTTAATATAATTATAAATAAATTACTCCACAGTAGTTAATCATTTTATTTTCAAAACCATATATCACATTTAAAAAATAGCCTCTTCTCTCTCCGTTATATCTCAATGTTATCAACACAAAAATATTTCAAAAATATTTTTCGCTGAAATATAAAAATTTACAAGCCTGAGAAACTATTGGCGTAAAAAATCACAGGTCTTTTCTTTATCCTTGATTCTTATACTTTCCTTCTTCGCCGGTGGATAAAGAACATAAACTGCATAGTGAATTTTAATAGAAAAGGTTATTGATTCTATTGTTGTTATCCATTGTTACGGAGAATGTCTATTTAGAGGTCCTAAAAGAAACTTTCTCTTTTCACGAAATTAAAAAAAGCTGATCTGATCCAACAATCTGAAAACCAGTTGTATTTAAACTCGTTCAACGAAATTCTCCAGTATCTACAAAACGATGATCGAGTACATGGTGCCAGTGAATGCACTGGCAATGGATGGAGAGTAAAGTGAATTTAAATTACACTTTCATAGCTAATCATATAAAAAAAATCTGGTGTGTCCACTCACACGACTTTCCTACCTATTTCAAAAAGTTTTTATATATGTAAAGATGTTCATGAAGAAACAAAAAAGAATTGAACTAGATACATTTTCCTGAAAATTTATGAAACATGAGATTTGAGTACGATTTATTTGATAAACTAAAGCAATGTAAACCGGCTTAAGATAAATCAGTATAAACATTTCAATACTTCCTAATATTGCTGATCAAAAACTTTTTGGCATAGCTTAGTATTGACAAACAATAATTTCTGTTGAAAGTATAGGAAATAGTGAAGGTTGTGTGATACGGGCAACAGATTTTTTTACTTTCACTTAGTCATCTTTATTCTCTCATTCACACCTTTCTGACACCAGGATATGAAACCGTAATCTTACATTGGGAATTGAATAGCTGTAACTTCGTTAATAGTTGTCCAAAATGAACGATTTTTATATGGCTTTGTAGGGAATTTCAAACGACAAGCTAAACGGATTCGGACTCAGAAGGCTCTATAGATCCGTCGAAAACCACATGTCGGAAATTTGACCCGATTGCAATACTTTCCTTACCTACTATAGGTAGGAAAGTAATAAGTTAAAAAAATGCGTAAAAAATAGAATAAGCTGTATCATTCCGATGATTTTCCTTTTGTTTTGTTGATAATTTAATTACCTTTTAAAAGTTTCATCATAAATTTGACCGTATAATATATACTTAAGGAGTTAGGCCCTATAATATTTTTCTTTTCTTTATAACTTTTTTTCCTGAATTTTTTGGGGAATTTAGTCTATATACGAAAATTGAATAAACAATGATTAGAACATTATAGGAAAGTTTCATCAAAATCTTTAGAGCCGTTTTCGCGTTACAGTCTATAGAAAAACATGTTTTTTATTTATTGCGCGCAAGCTATTGCGCATGGAGCACCGAATATCTGTCACAGCCATCAGTAGTCAAAACCCTACAAAATAAAAAAAGAAGCAACAAAATCGGTTCAGTAGTTCCCGAGAAAATCTTAGCACAGACAGACAGACAGACAGACCAATGGCTAAAAATGTGTTTTTCGGACTCAGAAGGCTCTGAAACGTATAGATCCGTCGAAAACCGTATGTCGGAAATTTGACCCGATTGCAATACTTTCCTTACCTAGTATAGGTAGGAAAGTAAAAAAATTAATATCATTGAATCCTAAAAAAAAAAATATTTTTTTTATAATTAAAAAGTATAATTATCAGCCTGGGGCAATAAGTAATATTACTTAATACTAATTAAAAAAATAAAAATATCTATTAATATAATTATAAATACAAAAAAATATACATAATAATATATAAATTATTTTCAGGACACTTGATAAAATAAAAAAAAAAAAAAAAGAAAAAGAAATGGCAATATATAAGTATTCCATATTGTTTGTTCAGCGATAATTGTACTTTTCGGATGAATTTCCGTCAAACGTCTTATAGATATTTGGATTTTCCTTTCTTCTCACCAACAACTAGAACTCTCTATAACACTTAATATTTTAAAGTATCACTTTTCCCTCTCATTTTTCTCTTCCTACAAAATATTTAAGTCCCTTTTGTCCAACTTTCCCTCTGAATATTTGCTTTCTAATAATACACCCTTAGCTCATTGAAAGAACAAACAACACATTCACCGTGGTAATTTGTGTCATAAAAACGAAAGCTAGAAATGATTTGAATTTCTACCTTCTTGTTGAACAATACTGGAGAAAATCCATAAAGTATCGCTTTCGTCACGAACATTGTAACTTAGTAAAAATATTTTTGTATTGAATACATGAAAATAAAAACTTCTGCCCCCTATTTTTTAATGCCTTAATGTATCATCAATTTAATTTTATTAATTTGGTTGGGCTTTACCATAGTGATAATTATAAAAAATAAAAATATCTATTAATATAATTATAAATACAAAAAAATACATAATAATATATAATATAAACATATATTATATGTATTATATATAATATATAACATAAACATATTTATGTCAATAAAATATCTAAATATACCTATTCTGTAGCGTTTTTCAAAGATCTAAAGCACCGAGTTTGATAAAAAGCAATAAGCTTGTAGGTAACTGAAAAACTCTTGAACGACTTCTTTTATTTATTTAGAAATATAACAATCTGTCACGTGGACAATAATTATAGTGATATATGATATATCACTATAATAAACAAAAGTAAAATAATAATCAAAAACTATGTACACTAAAAAATAAAACAACCTAAAGATAAATAAATTAAAAATGTAAAAACTCTGTCATACCTATATACAATATATACAATCAGGCAGGGAACCACAAGTCAGGCTTCTCCCTCCAAATATAGAAGGAAAAACGGGACTTCAAAAGATCCCTGCGCTACTCTCTCAATCGCGTCACTGCTGCTAAAGCCAGTGGAGTTAGAGCGAGAGCGCTTTTTTGCACGACTAAAGACTTGTCTTGATCTTGCATTTGGGCAACACTATGCAGGAAGAAAGAAAGAAATGAACTATGCCGCCCAACTGATTGTTAATATCATCAAAGACGAAGCCAAAAGTTTTAAGAAGACAATGATGGTGTTTTCAAAACTTTATTAAATCTCCAATAACCGAAATGATATTACATGTATTGAATATTGTTTATTTGTATTTAGCCCATAAACTTTAAACAGACGAAAAACCGATAAGAACGTATGAGTTTTATAATTATTCCTCTGTTCAACACTTCACTACAGTTTGGCTCGTTACTTCCGACACCCACTGTATGTATATTATATATACTAGATATTATTTCGATGCATCTGTTATTTTATTTATTTTACCTATAATTGATTCCTGATTTTCTTTATTTTTGCTTTTATAAACAATATGAATAATTATTTTATATATATATATATATATATATATATTATATATTTATATATAATTAATTACTTTACTGTATATTAATATATACTTTCAGGAGAAGCCCCACAAAAGTTGCAGTTTGGAAGCCGGACCCGTACCCAATCCTGCGGACCTATGGTGACGAATTGCCAGCGCCCACAGTCAGGAACCAGAGCTCGGTGCTGAGCAATGTAACGGAGGATGACGCCACGAAATCCAAATACGAAACCACCAGCGAAGTTACACACAACAGCACTAGTTTACTAAACACGACAGAGGTCAACAACTCAACGAAAGAAGGATTGTTGGACACATCCACCACAAGTAAATTTTAATTTAATTTATTTAATACTTAATGCACACTTATGATAGATAAAAAAGATGAATAAAGATCGGCATAACTCATGAGCTTTTTCTTAGCTACTTCTAAATATCAATACTGATTAATTTTAAACCTTATCATTTATCTGTATAAACGAAAGGATTTTAAGGCCGTGTTGAGAAGGATTTGAATGTTTCAATTCTTGAGTAAGAAAGAAGAAGCATAGACACCCAAGCAACAACATGAAGCAATTTTTTTTTTGCGTTAGACCTTGTTAACCAAACTTCTCCATCTCTGCCTAGAATGAGATATTTCTTTGCAGTTATCTGCATGGAGCTCTATTGTATCTTTGTTGATTTATTTCCACCAGCCATGCCACTTGAGCAATATGGTTGTATGCAGTATTGTGATGTCAAGCATTATAACATTGCATAGTATCACACTACTGATGATGAAAGTGTACAAAATTTACGGCTCTGCACGACTCCTGGCTCTTGCTTTTACTTTCCGTTATTCAAGTTATTAAGCCTGGCTTCCACAATCCGGAAATATTCCTTTCACTGGTCCTCTTCTCCATCTGCGGGCCTCTAGGATGAATTGAGCTGGACCCACTACCGTCATCCAGCCATTTATGAAGTATTTGAACCATAGGAAGTTTTCCTCACTCACCAACCGAGGAATCTTCTCCCCGGTGAGGATATAAATCCCTGTGGTTCTCATTAACGTGACTCTTAATCCGTCTAAAGCAGTGCAAGCTGCGACCACATTCTTAACTGTCTCCGGAAGATTGCAAGCGGGGCATTGGGGATCAATATCCATATGATACATGGAGAATGGAATTCCTTCTACAGCATCCAAAGTATTATAAAAGTATTACGAGGAGTTGGAATTTTGGTGGAAAGCACGTTATTTATGGGGCTCACTAGTTGTCTTGTTTCCGTACAGTTGGTTATTAGTACTTCGTTTAGTCGGATCTGAGGATTTTTGTGCATATTTGACCTTTTTCTGGTCGTCACGGAGTCCACAAAGGTTCTGTTACAAAATTTTAAAAAGTAGCTTCGTAGGCATCCAAAGAGTGCCCATTCCTCCTTAAGGGAACTTCGGCTCTAGGAAATATATCGGTATCGACGGCAACAAAACTTCAGCAATTTAACAACTGCATGCTGATACATATAGTGAGACATACTTTATTACCTAGGACAAACACCACAGTGACATTTTCAGTATTAACTAAACTTTAAATTAAGGTAACTTAATTTGTCCTCCATACTCCATGTAAGTTACTAGGTCAGGTCAAATAGTTCTGACTAATTACGCAAGCAACATGGGTTTTTATCTACTGACTTCCACGTTACTATAATCAGAGAATACATATAAATAAATTTGATCGCAAATTCTTTCTCATGCCATTACTGTCTTGTTAATTACTTAGATTAGACAAACGTGGATTTATTCACATAAAGCTGAAAAAAATTGTAATTTATTTATCTATTAATTGTTTAATAGTAGAACATTGGCGTTGAGTTATTTTGTTTTTTGGGCATATTTCTTGTTATAGTCCAACCTTTTTCAAGAAGTATAACTTTTCAAAACTTTTCCATGTCTTGTATATCAACGGTCTTAGAGAACCTCATATTTATAAGTTGATTATATAAAGACTATTAATTAAATATAATTCTAAAATTAATTGTAAACATTTGAATATATTTATGAAGAAATATTATTAAATACAGTTTGATATCCACGTTTCGTATGAAATATCTCCATAAAATATAATTCAATAATTTTAGATATATAATAGAAATTTCAAACAATGTCCCCGACCAAAAAATACAATGCGAAAATAAAACAAAAATATTGTTGAAAAATGTTTGTTAATTCTTTAAAATCAATAACCTGACAGGGCATGGTTAGAGATAGAAGTTGAATATATTTTTCATCTATTATCTATTTATAGTAATTCCTTAAAAGAGCCGTTTATTAAAACTATTTTGCATGGTCCATGTCGTTGTGGGCATACTACATCGTGTTTTATAGTTTCGTCCTATTCGATCCTTTCTTAAACTTCTCACGTACCAACTTTTGTAATACGTCAGAACTTTTTCGAATAGTCAATTTAAATTTTTGTTTATTAATCTATACGTTTCTATAGATATATGTGCAGTGATTTATGTTTGTTAAAAAGAACATATAGGAAATAAATAACTTATTTAAAACAAAAAAAATCAATTATCCCGTTTCTCCGGAGTACTTGGAAAATTATTGTAATTTTCTGAGTATAGAATGAGCAGTATGAATGAAAAAAAGCTAAGTTTTATGTATTTAAATACATTTTTATATGTCATTTTCATTCTGCATTAAAAGAGGATCTTGTTATTAAATATATATATATTCATAAAATGCATAAAATTTTCCACATAAACGTATCCCATATTTATAGGAAATGCCAAATCGAAAATATATTTTATAAAATATGTCTTAGATTCTTGTCCGTACGTCACATTTAAAACCATAAGTGTAATTGTGTGATGATAGTAACTTAAGAAATATGGTCCGCATGCCAGAAATGGTGATGTAATAGAGGACAAAAAAAATATTTAGTCACTTGAAGTAATTATCTATTTTTTTAGTTTTATTTAGAAACCGTGATATAATTTATTTTAACTGTTGCATAATTGGCTTTCTCACGTGCTGTTTTATGAATGTATGTTGTATGGATAAAATTTGAGTATTAGAGGAAAATGGAAAATATTTATATCAACTTTTTATTTTGGGATTTAAGACAATTAAAACATATAGAAAGGGAAAAGAATAATTCCCAGCATCGTTCTGTACTTTATAAATGTTCAGTATGGCATATCAATATTAACCCTAGCAACTTATCTAAGGATAAATTATCTCACTATATTCGCAAACAGATGTTATTTTGGCGTCCTTAATTATATGAAAAGCTATTCACTACTATAATAAATTCAACTTCTTCTGTGAAGAGTTTTCATTCGGCAGATTCTGACTTATAAATGTGAAACATTGATTTTGACGAAGGCCAGTGAAAGAAAACTATTTGTGATGTCAGAAAATAGATTCAGGAATCCAATGAGGTTTTGTTGATAAACTTTTACACCAAACACTTTTATTCTTCAACATAAACATGACACTATGAGGAACAAAGGACTACTTCCCTGTGCGTAACCTCAATCAAGCCATCCTGCTTTGTTTAAAATAGCTCAACAGTGCTGCCATATAGCATGCATTAACTTCTTTCTTGACTCTCCCACCATCGCCATCATTCCATGGTATATTATTTCTTTTTAATGTATCTAGGCATTCATAATTTGATCTAGGGATATCATTGTAAATGTTTATTTTATCCAACTTTACTCCACCATAAAATTTAACTGTTAAATGTTCAAGTTTGACATCGTGTTCAACTTTTGTATCAACATCCCCAAAAAGGTTATATGAAACTATTTCTTCCTTTTCTTTTTGTAATTTGCCTCTTGAAGAACTGATAGTTGCTGAAATATCATCATCATGCCAAGTTTTATTTGAATGCTCATCAAAAGCATCAAATTTAGTTTTTATGCGTATCCACTTGTCCCGATAACTTACGGATCTATCAAATTTATCCTCCTCGTTTTTTATCAATATATTCATCAACGAGTATCAAATTTCTTATCTTTTTTTTAAACTCTGATAGATTTTTAGCTCTTGCTTCGAGTTTTATAAATTCCTTTTTGAACTCGGGATGATTTTCAGCTATTTTCTTTTCTAATGAAGTAACTAAAGTTGTGAATCAATTTTTCCACTGAGTTCTTTCTAATTGGGGAGTTTTCAACTCTTCAGCACTCATTATCCTTAATTTCCCACACACAAGAGATGCTATTATTTAAAATTAGGAAATCACTTCAAGAAACAAATGAGGCTTTGTTAACTATTTGTCAGTTTTAAACTCTTCAGCATTCATTAATCTTCATTTCCAACACAAAGGATGCCACTATGTGATTTCAGGAAATCACTTCAGGAAACAAATGAGCCTTTCTTAGAAACTTTACACCAAAGAACACATAACACACTTTTATTCCTCTACATAAACATCACATTACCAGGAACAAATGACTACTGCCATCTGAGTAACCTCACCCAATCTGCCTTGATTACAACAGCTCAGCAGTGCTGCCAGATAACATGCATCAGCTCTACACTATTAATTTTCAAAAGAAAGATATTTCATAAGATTTTTGGCGCAATCAATGTGAATAATGAATGAAAAATACGATATTACTATGAATTAGACACAGTTGCGTCCCAGGCAAATTTTAAGAAAGGCCAATTTTGGTGTCCACCTTATTTTAATAATAATAGTTGATTTATTAATTAAAGTTTATCTCTTAAGAGGTTTATTATTAGTTTAGGCACTTTAAAAGTCTAATTTTAGTTTATTATTTTCAATAATGACTATACATAATCGTTCAAAACAATCAGAAATTTAACCTCTCCCCTCTCTCAAAATTTGAGTTTTACGTTTCACGTTACGTATAATTCGAAAATTGAATAAACAAAATTTTGGTCATCCGCGGCTTTTTTCCGAGAATACTGGACCGATTTTTTTTCAAATTTGAAATAAAAGGTAGAGTATAGGTCACCCGTTATTGACTGTAGTGCCTAAACAAATGTACCAATTTTAATGAAAATTGGTTAAAGTCATCTTCTAGATGCCATTTAAATTTTTCTATATAACGTACGTCAACGTAAAGAAGCTGAAAAAAAAGTTACGAGAAATGGTAAAATTAGATTTCTTAATAGCTCAAGAAGTATACACTTATTTGTGATTTTTATAATTAGATGTTTCAAAGGTATTTAAATTTCCTAAAAAAGAAGAAGTTTCACGAAATCAGAGGACTGTTAGTAAAGATATCGTGGTTTTTAAATATTGTTGGTTCATTATTTTCAGTAATGAGCCATTGTAATCATCCAAAAAAGTCAACTCCCCTCAAAATATGAGGTTTTACGTTTCATGATACGTATTATATTTTTTATGTATTTTCATATTTTTTTTTTTCTATTTTCCATTTCAACTGTAATCACGCTCGAGAATATTTTTTGTTTAGCTGATAACAAATTATTTTATAGTGCTAGTTTATTAATTTAGCTTACTTATATTTCACCATCTAAACCGATGCCTTTCTGTTATTACTTTTGTTATCTTATTATATTATTGTTTTATTTATCCAGGTTATACTTTTTGTTTCTCTGTGTACCAATATGAATATGTTTGTATATATAATTCTTTTTTTTCCATTACACTACAAGTAATCCTGAATTTTATCTTAATTTTTCTTAGTGTTTGCATATTATTATATAAATCACTGTAGATATTATTACATTTTGTATTAAGTTATTTTTTTATTAGTTAGCAAATTGTTTATAAATTTTGTATTATACATATACATGTAATTTCTTTTCTTTTTTTTTAATCACAATAATAAGCAATTTTGAGAAGATTTTATATTCATTTAATTTTTTTGTGTTTATTTTTTAGTGATTACATACTATTTTTAAATAATTTATATAATGTTAGAATTTTTCTAATGTAGTTTTTTGGCCAGATTTGTATTTTCTTTGTATTAATTCATCATTGTTATTCTAAGGGGACATAGTCACAGAATAAAGTTCAATTTTTTATTCTATTCTATTATATAATTCGATAATCAAATAAAAAAAATTAGTCCGCGGCTTTTCTCCGATACTACTCTGGACCTATTTTTCTCAAATTTGGAATTAGAAATTCAAAGTTAGAAGTCATTCGAGGATGACCCTCCTATCTAGACATTACTATCCGCCTTTTCCTTCCAAGATGGTGGCCGAAAAACCTTTGTTGGTATAGACTATCTTTGTTTGAAAATAATAAACTATTGTGTAATAATTTAATGTTTTTTGTGTTATAATCGCAGGATTTTAATGATGAAAACGACAATTCAATATTTTAGCTATCCATAGTTTTTACATAATCATGTTGAATACACTCTCTTTTTTAAATAAAAGAGGTTCTGGCGCTAGAACGTCATTATTTATTGCTTTCATCAACCAGCGAAATAGTTTATAAAATATTCTACCAAATTGGGAATAATTAAAAAAATATTATTATTTCTAAGTTTGATATTGAAAGATATATTCTGCGTACAAATTCATCAGTTTTAAATATATATGTTTTCACAGTACAATAATTCATCATTTTTTCATTTCATTGCCAAATCTACTGTTTTTAAATTTTTATACTTAATTTAATCCTTAAAATTTCATAATGAAATATGTCTTGATAAATTAACAATCATCGCCGCATTAAGACCTTATAAAACGAGCATTTTATTTCACATATTTTATTATAATTGTCCCCTAAGCTGCCTTAGATTACCACCACGTTAGCTTACGGTTTTGTTTTCATAATGGCATTTGTATTATTTAAAATGTCTGACGTATTCGGATCAACTTGAGATCTTTGGAGGATGGAGCATAAATCCCCTTAATAGTTGAAATAAAAAAGTTTGAGTGGCATGGCACCGACATTGAAAATAACAAATAATCGTACTGTACAATTTGAGTTATTTGTTTACTTAATAATATATTTTTGTAAGAAAGATTTATCTTTGTATTGATACATTTTTATTAGTTTTTTTTAAACGTTTTTATTACTCCATAAAGCATCTAAGAACCTTAATGTATCTGGACATCGTCGCCGTCCTCAGAGCAAAACACATTTATTGTTTTGTCTTATAATTTATATGTATTAACCTAACTCATTAAATAAAAATTTAGAAACGGTTTTAGTTCAACATTGTCAAAATACTCGTGATATAATAATGCTGAGCTAAAACATCTATTAATTGGAATACTTTACATCATTCTAAGTATTATCCTTCAGATAGAAATGATATCCTGAATATAAACTATTTAATCTGTTCTTTTACTTCATAAAATATATTTATGAATGGGGACATATTTACCGAAGAATTAGAATAGAAAATAACTTTATTCTGGGTCGAAGTATCTTAGGAATAACAGGATATTACAGAAAAAAAATAAGATCTGACCAGAAAACTTGTTACATTTAAAAGTATCTAGAACAACAAAACTTTAACTAAATAAACTTTATATACAAAATCAAACCAGTGAGAATATTTACAAAGTATTACAATTATATACAATACAAATGAGAAATTAAAAGATTATGAAACAAAATAATCGCTGAATAGTTAAAAAGATTAAAGAATATAATAATCCAAAGAAATATATTTTTAAAAAAGCCGGAAAAAACAAACAGCAGAATACAAAATAAGGTCTTATAATAAATGAGCAACAAATCTCTTATGATTAAAAAAATTACAATCAAAATTGTAGTTTAGTCATATTAGACGGAAGTGCAAATTAATTATTGCATTTCAGAAATATTCTCTAGTCGAAGAACAGCAAAGATGTCTTTTACAACTCGATAAACCCAAATCGCGGTTACTTCATAAATAAATAAGCGAACGAATCGTAAAATACAGCCATTACTCAAAAGAAATACATAATTTTCAGTTCTTACGCTTTTACCTGACAGGTGGTTACGCCAAGATATTAGAACTGGGTCAGACCTTTGAACAACAGTATAATATAATAAACAACGATTTTTTTGGGGGGAAATTTTAAAAATATTTCCTCAATTTAAATTTCACATCTAACAAAATAAAAATCAATTACTGATGTTTATGATATTTATAGTTGACTGGCAGCTTGTCTAGAGGACACACTGCGTAATTCGAATCAAGCCTTTAATTTTTAATTAATTTGTAATAATTATTGATAGATGTATTCAACAGCAGATAAAAATTTGTTTTTAGAAATAAGATATTGAAATTCTGGTAATTGAGGTGTTTGTGTTTTTTCCGTAGAGAACGATACATGCGTGAGGCGGGATTATGAAGAAGAAATAGCTGCCGTGTTCAGAGATGAAGCTGGGCCCATCGAATCTGCAATGTTGGTATTCAATTCTACATTCCAGTACATGGAAGGAAAGATATCCAATGTTACAGAGCTTGTGAATCTACGAGTGCTCAATGAAACTGTAGTAGGTAAGTGAACAAAGCAGTATTTTTATACTACAAAACGTTATTTTACATTATAGGAGCTTGAGATAATTGGTGTAATAACGGACTCTGATCTGAGGGAAGTTCGTCGAGATGGGTAAGGGAATGATTGTGAGGACCTAAGCCACTGTGGATGAAAAAATCAAGGATATCGGGATTGCGGTTTGGATCTGTGGGCCAGTAGGTAGGTGAGTTAGGAAGAAGGAGATTTTTTTTGGAAGGAAATTATTTTAAGAAGTTTGTTATCAAGATTATTCAAGAATGGTTTCATGGACTTGTTGTTGTTGTCCTTCAAAGAATTCATATAAATACCTCGTAAATTTTGATTGTAAGATATAGGATACCAAAAACCAATATATACATATTTTTAATTTAATATTTTTAAAGTTAAGAAAGTAAATATTAGCAAAGTTTGTAAACTCCACATGAATTTCCTTATTACAGATTGTGGAGAGTATTTGACACCCAAGCTGAATGAGACGCTCGAAACAACGACCAATACTAATTCTACAACGTAAAATAAAGTAAGTTTCACAAAATAAAATTTACCTAACAGATATTATTTCTTATTTCGTTCATGTATTATTTATTGTCTGATAAAAAAACAATCTGTAGGGTTTGATGTTATAGCAAAGGAACATCCTTGTACTACAGTGGCAATGTGTCATAATCACCCTAAATTAAAAAAATCTGGTTCGCACAACACACAACTTTCACTTACCGCTCAACTTTGAATAAAAATTAATTAGTTCTAGACATGTTGGACTATTATAAAAATTTTGAATTGCATTTTTAACCGAGTTAAAAAAATACAGCAAACAAATCATAAATACCATTAAAATAACAAAATTCCTATTTATGCAAAGTTTACTAATACGGAATTAAGAGGTGTCTGTCATAGACAGGTCAAAAGTTGTCACACTAATTGTAAGTGGATAGTGTTGGAATATCACAAAAGGAAATTTCATCAAACTATTCACAAATTTAATTTTCTAAAAGGTTACATGATGATTTTTCGGAATAAACGGACGATATATACCTAAATATTTAAATGTAATACCAGATCTAGAGTTATTAAACTATAGGAAATATATTTAAAGTTATAAACGTATCTATGAAATATTTTTATATTTTACTTCTTCTTTCACAATTTTTTGTAAAAATAAAAATCAAAATCAAATGTGTTTGTATATATCCCTGGGAAGTAAGGTTAATAAGGTAATGTTTCCAAGAGTTAAAAAGCGAAGAGCATTTCTCCTTAACTTAAGAACCTGATTTGGTCTAAATTTCTAGCATTTCTTATGGTTATAATAAACAATACTGGTGTGAAGATGGTTGACTGTAGATTCTAAAACTAATATATAACAATTCGAGTTACATGGCAGTTTTTCGGAATAAATGTACATTGATACCTAATTATTTAAATATAATATCAGATCTAGAATTATTACACTACAGTAAATGTATTTAAGGTTATAAACATACTATGTTTTATACATCCATGAAATGATTTGATATTTCAATTATTCTTTCACACAAGTACAATAAAATAGTTTTTTAAACAATGTCATTACATTGATGAGGGGGATTTTAAATATTTTTTTCAAACATAAAAATATTTTAAAAGGTTACATTTAGTTATTCTATTTCCTTGAAACCATGTGATTTACGTTAAATATTATCGATTATTATTTATAATTTTGTTGCAACCCTAGCTTACCTTCAACAACTTTCTATATTAGATATTGTTTTTCCAAAAATTCCCCGCTTTCCAACGATAAATTATAGGTATACTTCTGACTAGTATTTTTAGAAATTCATATTCGACCTGGATGAGTCTTTTTATTTTTTTCTTCTTTATTTAATTATCAAAGTCTTTCAAAAGTTATATTTAGCATTTTTTCGTAACTCTTAATAATGATAGATAATTGTTTATTTAAAAAAAACACATTGAGGTATTTTAGAGGAAGACGCATATGAGCATTGGGCATTTAAGCCCTGTAAAGTGACATCAATGGGGATAATACCTAAATGATATTAAATATCACTTAATTATATAATGGTACACCGAGTTTAATCAAAATCGTTAGAGCCGTTTTTGAGAAAATTGTAAAAATGTTTTTCAGCGTTGATATGAAGTTTTACTTCCGGTTAGCTGCTATGGACAAAGTTGCTATCAAATCTAAGTTATATACCTATATTAAATACGTAATATCAGTTTCGTACGACTTTTCGTTTTTGAGCTAGACTGCTAACATACACACACACTGACACACGGACCATTTTTCGGGACTTGGTTATTTGGACTCAGGGTAACCAAAACCTGTATTTCTGTTGAAAACTCAGATTTAAAAATTTTCACTACCGTAATACTAACCCTTAAAAAGTTACCAGGACATCTAAGGCATATGTCTAACTTAAATATGTAATATGAGTTTCGTACGACTTTTCGGTTTCGAGCTAGATTGTTCAGATATACAGAGACCATTTTTCGGGATTTGGTTATTTTGACTCAGGGAACCTCAATACGTGTATTTCCGTTGAAAACTCAGATTCAAAACTTTTCACGGTTGCAATACTTACACTTACTACATATTACATGTACAGGTAAGTGAAAGTAAAAATAATTCTAAGAAATTAAAAAAAATCTGGTGCGCACAACACACAACTTTCACTTACAGCTCTACTTGGAATAGAAATTATTTTCTGGCAATGCTGGGCTATTATAAAATGTTTGAAGTGCATTTTAAAATGAGCTAAAGCTTAAAGCTTACAGATAACAAATCATTTCAACCATTATAATTATAAAAAATCTATTTATAATACGGTAGGCACAGGCAGATCTACGGGGGGAGGGAGGGACTTTCGGGCTGAAGCCCTCCCACAAAATTGTAATATATACAGAAAAAAATATTAAAAACTATTTCTTAAAGTATACTTGTTCGTGTAATTACGTTTAATAGGATTTCAAGAACCACTTAAACACCATTTCATAAAGGTAGTTAATTTCTTTCTTTTTCTAATTAATTATCGTATGTATATGTATATGAAAAAATAATCTTTCGGGCTGAACCCTCCCCCCCCAAAATTAAACCCTGGATCCGCTAGTGCCATGTACTAATCCTAATAATGTCTCAAATTCTTCATGTCCTAAAGAAACACATCATGGTCATTTTTGTATTTGATCAGTGGAGCCAATGTTTCATAACTTTGAGCTATTAACATTTGTTTTCTTAGTTGCTAAATTATTTAATATAAAAATGGACATAATATGGATAATTCGATATTTAATATTATAGTGGAATATAGTAGGTATTGTTGTTTCGTCAACAATGCAATGTTTTATTTACATTTCATCAAAAGTTTAATGCAGTTTGAACCGGTTTAATAATCCCGAAGAATGCAGAAACGAATATCAAAGTACTCTCTCCCATGAACAAGTATTATACTCGATTTTTCGAACACTAACATCATTCCATTCCTTTCATTACATAATCTGGACACAGCGAAAGTTCAAGAAATCTCCGGGTTATTATAAATACAGGTCAAGGGAGACGAGTCTAGCTTAGAAGCTCCACTGTTTAATTCCGAGCGAGGAGGTGATCAGACCTAGTTAGATTTCCATAACTGCATTTTTATGTTTCTTTTTCGCGTACGAATACTTTTTAAGCTTCATTAAATTGTTCGACTTCAAGTTTTTCAATCATTACGTCTAACGTAATGCGTTTTACTGCAATAGGTTTATAAATATGGCTCATCACAGTAGCAGGATCCATTTATTGCAATATTAAAAGCAATCTTAGTATACATTTTAGTGAGATATTTTATTATTATATCTCACCCCAAAGGATTAATAAAAATATATATTTGAATTGAAGACATAAACCGATTTGTTTGGTTTTTTTAACTTGCTTTTGTATGACATGCGACAAGAAATCGCAATGGATATTCGTAGTACCTGATGGAAACTTACGATTATTTATTTAGTAATAATTTATTTTCGCTCTAACTTGCTCTTCGGCATTACAAATACTTTTATTTCATGCAAAAAAATGTGAATGAAAATCCTCCAAGTAATCATTTAACTAATGAAAACTATTGTTTACAATCTTTGATGTTCGTCCATATCCATGGCCATATGGTCATAAACGGTTGTATTGTAGAGCGGATCAAGGAATATAATTTTTACTTTCATTTACCTGTATATGTTATATATATTAAGCGAAAGTATTGCGATCGTAAAATTTTTGAATCTGAGTTGGAACAGAAATACACGTTTTGAGGTACCCTGAGTCCAAATAACCAAGTCCCACAAAATGCTCTCTGTGTATGTATGTTAGCAGTCTAGTTCAAAAAAGAAAAGTCGCATTAAATTAATATTACGTATTTAAGATAGGTATATGTCTTAGATGTGACAGCAACTTTTTCCTTAAAATCGGCTAACCGGAAGTGCCACTTTATATCAACGCTGAAACACATTTTTACAATTTTCTCAAAAATGGCTCTAACGATTTTCATTAAACTAGGTGTACCATTGTATAACTAAGTGGTCTTTAATACCAATCAGGTCTTATTCCCATTGATGTCACTTAACAGGGCTTAATTGTGCAATGTTCATATATGTCTTCCTCTAAAGCTAAACCTTTAATATGGTTTATTTAAAAAAATTAATCATCTCACATTATACAGAGTTACGAAAAAATGCTAAATATAATTTTTGAAATAATTTGATAATTGAATTAGGAGAAAAAAATAAAAATGCTTATACTGCTTGAAAATGAATCTCCCGAAATACCAGTTACAAGGTATACATATAATATATCGCTGAAAAGTGGAGAAGTTTTGAGAAAATAAAGCAATATCTAATACTGAAAGTTGTAGAAGGTAACAAAGAATGGCGAAAAAAAGATAAATAATAATTTTTGAAAACTAATATTATCTAACGTTAATAATTTATTTTCAAGGAAATTAAATTAAATTTACTAACTAAATGTAAACTTTTAAAATATTTTTAAATTCGAAAAAGTATTTAAAATCCATGTAATCAAGGCAATGGCATTGTTTAAAAACTATTTTATTGTACTTGTGTGAAAGAAGAAGTGAAATATAAAAATATTTCATTGATGTATAAAGCACATGTTTATAACCTTAAATACATTTACTGAAGTTTAATAATTCAAGATCTGATATTATGTTTGAATAATTAGGTATCAATGAACATTTATTCCGAAAAACTGCCATGTAACTCGAATTGTTATATATTAGTTTTAGAATCTACATTCAATCATCTTCAAACCAGTATTGTTTATTAAAACCATAAGAAATGCTAGAAATTTAGACCAAATCAGGTTCTTAAGTTAAGGAGAAACGCTCTTCTCTTGGAACTCTTAGAAACATTACCTTATTAACCTTACTTCCTAAGGCTATATACAAACACATTTGATTTTGATTTTTACAAAAAAATTGAATTAGGAAAAAAGGCATTTCCTCACATTGTCTTTTAGTCTGCATTACAGACCTCTTCTTATCAAATTAGTAAAATCCTCCTAAAACTTTGTAAATGGCTTTATCTTATCCTAGCCTACAACTTTCTTGTCTAGGAAAATTCTTATAAATGCGTCATTTATCATTAAATTAATTAATTTAATGGATCACTAAAAATTAATGATTACCTGTTTGATTTCCAGTTGAATCATAAGACAATTTTATCACAAAATCAAGAAAAAATGTGGCCTACAAACTTATTAGGCCATATGGCCTATATAACCTCATAATTTTGACAGGTTGGGGGTAAAGGCCACGGCAAATGGCCCAATATTTCTGTAGGCCACTATTTTTCTCGATTTTATTATCAAACTATCATACAATTCAAGTGAAAAGAAAATGAGTGTTAATGATTTTTTAGTACCTCATTAAATAGACAAAGTTTACCGATATCCATATTAAAAACGCACCATTTTCTATATTAGTTGTGAATACAAAAGTTGTTGGTAATTATAAGATGAAGCCAATCACTAAGTTTTAGAAGAAATTAATAGTTTTATAAAAAGGGTTCTGTACCGCGGAATGTTTATTAATGTTAATTCTCATTTTTTTATAGTATATCTTAGACGATTTTGTTGAAATTGTCTTCAAAATTTTACATAATCTTTTATTAGAGCATGTTTTAATTTTAGAAGTGGTTCATATGAGGTTGGTAAAATAAATGTTCAAAGAGTTTATATCTGGACTGTAAAGAATGGTCATCCTAAATATAGGCATTTTTCATTTTCTCTAAAGCAGCAGCTATATATAAAAAATTATCTGTAGGCCTGATAAAAAAGAATAAGCACTGTGTTATCAGGAATAATAATGCTTTTAGAGATAAATTTTTATATATCTTTTCTTGACTAATGTTTACATGTAGCTGCTGAAGTAAGTGTCTTATAATTTAAATAGAGTATATAATTTGATTATTTATTTATTTAGTTTATTTAGATCAGATCATTCACAAAAGGTCTGGATGATGAAGGAATCTACTTAAATAATGTGTTAGTAAATAAAAGCAACGGAAGTACTACCGCTGGGTATTGCTTTTCCTCATGCCTATCAAGCTTTTTATTTTATAATTATTATTTGTATCTATTGATTTATTTTATTTTTCTCATGACTATGCCAGCACATCTACTGATTGTCGATAGTTGTAATTGACAGGTTTGGATAAAAAAAAATTTTAAAAAAAAATAGAACAAAAAAAAAATTCTATTTTGAGGGGCTTAATCCAAAAAGCCATTCCTTCCGCTGTGGATCCCCCAGTGCTCCAAAGAATTAACAGTGGACACAATTCTTTTGCTAAAAATATTAATTAGTTTAAAAAATAAATATTAAATTTTAAGTCTATCCTTGGAAATAGAATTTAATTATTATATTTTATAAACATTTTTTTTTCAGAACAATGCTCAATTTAATCAATGAAGAAAATTGGAAGTTGGAAGATTACTTGTTTTTTCAAGTATAATGTAATTCAATAGTCCAAAGATGAGTTTTCATTACTTTATATAAGATATGTGTCACATTTATTGGATTTCATAAGAAATACTCAATATATTAGTAATATTTTACTTAAGATTGCAAACTAGGTATTCAGAAGTAAACGGAAAACAATGCCACTGCCATAGTTGTGAATATTGTATACTAGTAAGGTTTAGAATGTTAAAGTGTTGAATATATACAATTACAATACATTTACTTTAATTATGTAAATATAGTTGTAAATAATAGTAATAATAGCTGATACAGACACCTACATATACATATGTGTAAGTAATATGTACATTTGTGTATCCTCACTTATGTTTTTATATAAATATATTTAATATACGAATGTATATTACTGCAAAAGACCAAAGTGTGGTAAACCCAGAGAGTTTTACCAATGAATTATAAGATTTCTACAAAGTTTTGGTAGAGGTATCATAGTTTTGACTGATATAAAAGAGACTTTGACTTGCTGATACTGGTAAATATTAAAAATAGCTACCAGATGTTGGTGAAACGAATGAAACTATTTCCACGATCCGAAAATCATATAGAACAGACATAATGAACATTGTTGTGTTTTTTAGATGAAACCAGTCTAATTAATATATCCTCAATTTCATGATGAACAGTGATGTGAACAAGTTTTCGAACTAACCATATTTTTATAAAAACGAGAAATGTTTTCATTTAAAAGTATTTTACCTTCTTAATTGTAAACAGATTTAATCTTGCAGACATTGTGAAGGTAAGTTTTATTTCAGAGCATATAATAGAATATCATATTTTATATAGTAATCTTGCTGAAGTTCCGTCTGATCAGTTTTAACCCAAATGTTATTGGATGGTATGGTACTGTTTCGCATCCAATTTTCCATCTATTCATAGGAGTTCTCCAACTCCATATCTAGAAACACACCCCCGTACCATAAAGAAGTCACTTCTATGTTTTACTGTTGGTTACAAACATACATCCCAAAAATTCCAATCCAGATTTTCTCAAAAATACCGTCTTCCGAAACTAAACATTTCAAATTTTGACTCATTTCACCATACAATTTTTTTCCATTCTCCTCACATCCAATTTTCATGTTCTTCGGTAAGCTTTAGTAGCTTTCACTCGTTAAGTGATAAAAAATAGTGTTCTCTGGCTAAAAAACCTTTAAGACCAACTAATAGGAGTTTCCTTCTGATTAACTTGGTTCCTAGTCCCATCAACTATTTCCTAAGCCAGTTATCTACTAGATTATCAGCGATTGTATAAACACAATCAATTTAGATGTTGTTTTTAAACTCTCACAATATTATCTAGGCTGCGTTGAGATAAGCTAATTTTACAGTAATAAAAGTTTAGATTTTCTGTCTTTTACTAATGTTATTGGGAAATGTTAAGGTTTGATAAATCTCAAGTTAGACCACACTTCAGACTTTTACAGTGTCATATATATATCAATTGTCTATAATTTATAGTCATTCTCTTGTATATTTAATCTGTTGATTAAGAAATAATTTTTTTTTTTTTTAAATTTTTGTAGCTCATATTAAATACAAAGTAAAGAGTTAGTAATTATTTTCTCCCTCACTTACTATCTTTTGTATTCAATATTGCTAAATGGTGATGTGGAAACTAATTCATCCTAAGACAAAGTTGTGCATTGAAAATTATCTAATTCATTATTTTCACAGAGGTGAAACCTGTTGGTTGTTTCAAAAATTGGTTTGGTCAGGAGGTAGCTGACTCGTATCAGTTTCCTCCGATATTTCTTTACAATTCAATATCTTTTGTTTTCTTGCTATAATATAAGTATACTATAACTTAAAATAAAGTTATTTCATATCATTTGGATTGCTTTTTGACACATTAGTAGTATGTGTAAGTTACTTAAGCCACAGTTGTGGTTCTATCTTAATGGGATAGGATGTATATCTTTTAGGTAGCAGTGCTTGTCATTAAATTGGGTTTTAGGTATCAGAACCTACAACAAATAGGAATGAAGTAGAGATAATAGTCAAGGAATCTAATTTTTAATTTAGGAAAGGAGCTGTACAATTCCTTCAGGTTTAGTAAGTGAAAAACATCTAGAGTAAAAGAAGGCTTTGGAAATAGCATATGTTATATCTGAACAGAGATTCTTCTAATCAGCTTTAGAAAATTTTGTACGAATAGAATGAAAAGTTGAAGAAGCCTGATCATCACTTTATCAAGAGGCTGTGTGTACCCAGGAGAGTCTCCTGAGCCGAGGGTCAATCCATGGCCAATGAAACAGAATAAATAATTCATCTGCCATCAGCCAGACTCGAACCAGGGACCTTGAGCATTTATAGTCAGTACCCTACCAGTGAGCTATTCTACTCCCTTTCATTCAAAAAGACTTCTTTCCTTTAAAATTCAAAGAATACATTACTAGCTTGGGAGAAGACCAACAACTTAAACAACATTTTTTCAACTTTTATTTAATAATAATTACACTGTTTATTACAATTGCTCAAAAAATGAAAAAAAAAGAAGTTATAAGTTGTGCCAGTCATCTAAACTATTGATATGATCCTGGAATTTAATACTTCCATATTTTATTAATCTTTTTTATTTTTATATTTCTGCTTCATCCAATTATTGTATTGCAATCCACAGAACTTTCTCCAGCTCTTGTTTCCATCCCCTCCTTCACGTTTTTGATAGTCATTAATGTTACCTCAAAAGAGATTTATTACAACTGGATAATTAAATCTCTATGAAAGTATCTGCTTTTGAATATCTATTTAATGAAAATGAAAAACTATTTATTATTTAATAATAATTATTAAATGAATAAAAAACTTGAACATCTTTTCATTTCAAGTAAATCAACATTTTCTCATCATGCCAACATTAAGAAGAGATAGCAGAATTTGGTCTAATGAAGAAAAGTAATCCCTTTCTGAAACAGAAAAATAGATATGATCAGACACTATTTGAACTAGTCTAAAAATATGATTTTTATATTGTATATTTACAAACTGATATGATTGTCAAATTCTTTGTATTTTAGTACCAGGAGTGTACATTATGGGCCCACTAAGGAACTTTGGCAACTTAAAGTATTAAATTGATCTTACTTTAGACCTTTATAGTATCTGAAGATGATAGTGTGTTATGTAACCGCATTAAATAAACAATAAATCGTCTCATTTCAAGGGACTTAATATATCTTTTCCTAAAACAGAATGTCCATAAAAATCAATTTTGTGTATTATCTTTTGGAAAGAGGATTAAATTTCTTCAATTGGAAAAAATTACAATTAGTTAATAGAATTTTTAATGAACTGTAAAATTGTAACCAATACTGACACAGTGATACAAAGACCAAAGAAGGTTGGTCGGTTGTTATGGAGCTTAGGCCTAAAACTTGTTGAGTATCAGTGCCGTTACTTAAACTAATATATATTTTTTATTTATAATTATTTCTGCTGGTTATGGATAAACAAAAAAAATTATAATAAAAAATACAAATAAACGTTTCCGATATTTTTAAAAATTCCTTCTTCGAAGGGAAAAGGTTTAATAATAAAAAAAAACTTTGATCTAGACTTCTTCCTTATTTCACAAAGCAGTCGATGTACTTGCTAGTATCCCTTTTTCATTTAACTTTCTGAAGAAAAAGGCACAACTCTCAAAGACAAATATAGGTCTATAGGCTACTGTCATTCTCCCCCCACACCTTTGACGAATGTGCGGGTTTTCTTCAGTGATTAAGTGAAGATGTGTAAGCCTGGTGTGTACTATTCTGAGTCATATAAGGACGACAAAGAAGGTAACCATCCATAATTAATTATTTAAAAATATTATTATAATTATAGATATATGACAACTTTTAAACTATGCTCACTCTAGATATTAAGCCACGATGGGTTCAAACCAATGGATTTGGGTCATTACAAATGAAATGAATAGAGACTATTTCCACATATAAATTAGATAAAATACATAAGATTTTAATAGTTTTGAATTATAATACTGATATAACAGACAATAATATCAGATAATAACTATTAGAGCTTTTGTTATAATAATTGAAGGCAAACATCTGTAACTTGTGGTAAAATAAATGATCCTGCCTAAGTACTGCCATGACTCCTTTAAAAGGCTATTACACTTTTTTTTTGTTGTGGTGTTTTATAATTTATTTAATTCTACTGTTCAAAAAATTTACCTTTGTCTTTTTTTTGTTTTTTCCTCTTTCCATTATAACTTCTTCCATTTTCAAGGTCATCCATTTCACAAATATCCCCGGAAATTGTGAAAATATCTTTTGAAGGTGTTGGTTTGCTACGGAAGAATGAAAAGATTCGGGAATAAGAAATTTTCTTCCGTCGTTGTTCTGGAACCCATTATTAGAAATAATATAATGTTTATATTATGTTATTATAAGTGACCAATGCATTCCTAATTTTAATAAACAATTTGTCTCTAGCATTTATGTTTTATGTGATTTAGTTATAATCTCTGGTTAATATTTTCTTCATGCATTATCTTATTTACGATGTCCTATATATCATTGGTCTGAATGTGAACATTTTTAACAGATAAATTTCAAGTTTAGAAAAAGTAAAAAAAATAATCATTTAAATTATCAAAATGAAACATTTTGATTAAATGTTAAATAAATTAAACATATTTTTTAAATGAGTAAGTACAAAGAAGTGATGTACTATCAAGTAGAAAAGTTCATAAATTTCTTGTTGTTCATAAATTTAAGTAAAAATAAAATACTGAAATAATCCAAAACCAAAATGTTTTCTGCTTTCACAGTCTCACACTGACAAAATTTCTTCGTACTAATTCTCAATCTTAACCAAAAATTCAACTGCAATATTTTAATATTTAATGTGTTAATATTTAATATAACTATAATATTTAGGTTCATAAATATAAATTATAATGGAAACTTCCCAGAATCCTCTTTGATGAATTCTGTTAAATGTATTTTTTTGAGAAATCATTAGAAAAACAAAATTATTAAAATATTATGCCTTCCCTTACATCAATAACAACAATCAACTATCAAAGTAGTAGGTCAGTCATTCTAAAAATAAAATAAACAACTAACAAAAAATAGTACTGACTTATGTTTAAATTGGACAGTTTTATGCTCATTTAATTCTGTTTAGACTAATGTATGATTTTATTATTACATGATGACATGGTAACAACTATGATTTCATAGGAATGAGAAAATTCTGCTCTTTGTTAACTAATTTTTTATACTAAATTAAACATATTGAAAATTATTTTTTTCTTTTCCTTACCTTTTGCAGTTGCTAGTGTGAAGTCTCTTACACAGATTGATGTTTCAACGACTTTACTTTCATCAACCATTTCAAATTTTTCTTCTGAAGACCTTATTTTCTTAATGAACGACATTCTACGTCGCTCTTTCTTTTTTTTCTTATTCAAACCTGACATAAAAAATGGCACAAAACCAAGCAAACTGAAAAATACATTTAAATAATTACGACTTTTGCTATGCATTGTATTAGATAATTTCATTGTTTTCCTAATTATTGATTAAACATGCATTATGTTATAATTAAAAAGGTGTTTCGTGTAAGGCTTTTGTTTCCTCAATTTCCAATTAACATCAATATTGATTAATTTTAGTGGTTAATTAAAAGGCCATTTGAACACTATTATTCCTTTTATTTTTAACCCTTTACTGGATTATGACAAAATTTGAAATTATAACAGGTAATTTGTAACCAAGAATTGTAATTATAAATTGTTGGGCACTAAAATTTTCCTAAATAACCATATTATGAAAATTTCTTTTCATACTTGAAAATGGTCCATAATTCAGTAGCAACATGTCAAATGGCTTTTTAACTAATAACTGAAATAATAAAAGACACCAAAAGAAAATATATTTATAAAAAAAAAAGATTGATTTCAATTTAATTTATCCTATCAAACAATTAATAAGTATATTTGAATTAGAATGTATGAATGTCCATGTAAATCAGTATAATTATCAATGATAACGCTTTAAAAGTGACATCAGTTTTTATCTTTTTTCATAGGCGCAGATTGCGGGTGGCAATCTCCCCCTCAATAAAATTGTTGAGGGAACGAGAATGTCGTTTCTTCCTCCCAATAATTTCAGGCCCAAAAAAAAATTAAATAGTAAATTGATGAATAAAATATGTAAACTAAAATCTATTAAGAAAAGTTGACTAACTAGCTAGGCTAGAATAAAGTAGAAGGTGTGTAAAGATATAATTGATATCTGAATATTACTTTTATTTATGAATGTCTAAATAGAATATGAATGTAATTTATATTGAAATATAATTATATACAGAGTTTCCCGTAAGTAGGGAAATATTTAATCCAAAGTAGAGTTTCTTATTGTTAAAATCCATTTAAAGAGTACTTTTGAACAAATAAACTAAGCTATGTAATGATTGAAAAAAAAAAATTAATTATTCGTGATTTTTACTTATCACGATCCAACTATACTATAGACGTACTACTTTTAGAAAAAAACTTTCTTGTTTGCTTTAAGTCCATATTAATTAAGTTCAGAGTTTATTACGAAATAAGCTGAGATTTACCTCAAGTTGTGTAAAAAGAATTAGGTGTTTTGATATCCTGTCACCGTAAAGTATCCGTGTTTTGAACAAAAATGACTACAATAAATGACAACAAAGCTTTAACTTTTTCCCATTGCCTGGGATGTATTATCATAAACATAAATTAATAACTTTTTCAAGTTAATTTATTATTAGCCATATTTACACCAATTTAAAAAATTTTTTTGTCACTTAATGACTACTCATCAAAATGATGACATTTCGGCTCGTCGAGCCATTTTCAAGTTCAAATGATTCAAAATAAGTTAAATTTACCTTGTTTCTGAGTCACCCACATGTCATCCATCTCATTTCTATTCAGTGACTGGTTATTCTTATAGGAGTAGGGGAAGACTATTTATTATGAACATATATAATGCTGTTACTCAATATTACATGTGGATCTATTTTAAGTAATGTTAGCTGATTTATTTCAAATTTTGATTTTTTCAATAGAACTAGCGTAAAAAGTATTCATATTATCCACGTCTGTATGATTTAACTTATTTTGAATCATTTAATAGTAAAGAATTGAGTAATAATAATGTTGTTAAATAATTAAAGGTTAACATGACAATAATAAGGAATTTTATTATGAGTAGACGCTTGCAATTCGCATAAGTAAAAATGACAGGTACATGATGGGTATTTTAGGTACATAATAAGTATCTTTATAATTTGAAATATGTTAAAGTTAATATATGATTGTAAATGAAAAAAATTTTTAGACTTGAAAATGGCTCGACGAGCCGAAACGTCGTCATTTTGATGAGTAGTCATTAAGTGACAAAAATTTTTTTTAAATTGGTGTAAATATGGCTAATAATAAATTAACTTGAAAATAAATAGTATGCACCGAAGAAGAATTGAGTAATATTGTAAATTAATAACATTATTTTTATTTGTTTAAAAATAAGTATTTATCAGTTAAATTGATAATAAAACTTAGTTTTATTAAGATCTCTGTTATAGAAATTGATTGTATTTATAAGCGACTAATTAAACATGTTCAATCCTCATATTTTCTTTTTTTAATGTTTATTTGTTCTCTATACAAGTAGAGTCTATCTCTAAATTATAAACATTATTAACGTTATTGTGTTACAATATTTTTTTTTTCTTTTTATGCTACATTATAAATATTACAATAACCTAAAAGAGAACTTAAAAATCTCATTTATTAAAAAGTCAGATAGTTAAAACAATACCAATTATCAACATCAATATAAAATATAAAATTAACAATAGAACAAATAAAAACAATAAATAAATATTATGCTTTAAATATTAATATCAAATCACATACTAAAATTAAATTACCACATTATTCATAAAAACAAAGAAACAAACTAGAGAACAAGACCCAAATAAATCCATTCAACATTTATCGTAATCCATGCCGACATCCAATCTACATTTTTATTACAATACTCAGAGGACTACACTTTAGATTACCGCACCCACCAAATCTCTATAATTGCATATATTAGAGATGAAAAAATATAATTTTCTCAAATCTACTATATTGGTCGGCTTGAATATTTCGGTCCCATTAAGATTTCCCATACCCTGGTAAGTTCTTACTCCCCAATTATTATTTATTGGACATTTGAATAATACATGATAAAGTGTTTCTTTTTCCATTGTATTGCACATTTTGCATTCAAGTTGTGGATTGATTTTTAAAATTTGATTGTTGACTGAAATTTTAATCAAGAATTTTCCTGAGAGGCATTAATACGCAGGTATATTTGAAATTATCCGGCATCAACAGGTACTGGGAGATTTTAACATTGTTAAAAAAAAAAGGTTCAAATGTTCACTGTAAACTGATGCAATGCTTTCTTGTCAATTTCCTGCAAATGCCGTTTATATTTAATATCCTTTTAATATTAGCCCTAATTATGACTGGGTGAGTTTCATAAACAAAATCGCCCTTCTCTATAGTATCTAACAATACTTTTAGCTGAGCATACCAATTATATTTCGAAAGAACAGAATTAGTTTGGTAAAATTTGGTTCTTAGCTTTTCGAAACATACTTTAGGATATCTAAATTCCTCCATTTCCACAAGCCTAACCAACCAGTTCAAGAAATACTTCAAAACATCAAAACCAATATGAATTGAACCTGTTTCTAAACGTATTGAAAAGTCTGGGGTGGATCGCAAAGAGAAAATGTCTTTTTATAAAAATTTATGTTGACCTTTTCTAAAATGTCTACGTATCTGAGACCCCATACCTGATCACAATATAGCAAAGCTGTATCAATGATGGATTTTTTTCAACTTTTCTCTCGCCTTCCATGAGTTTGTTTTGACTTTTGAACAAATGGTTAGTTCAGTGCCTATAGTCGAGTTCAACTTTGAGATTGCTCTCTTAACTGTTTGTAAACTCAAACCAGACCAACAAAAATGAACACCTAAATAATTGTAGGTGCTGGCTATTTCAATAATTTTTCCTTCTAATATATCATTATATTTCCTTGGTCGTCCCCCGGTAAAATTCAAAATTTTAGTTTTATAAATGTTTATGATTAGTTTATTCTCTCTGCAATATTCATTTAGAACATTATTTTTTTATTAGGTCGGTATAGGAATCGTCAAAAACAGCCATGACGTCTGTAAACAAGAGAAACAATATGTTGACTCATCCATCAATAGGTAATCTGACAGGTTACGCCTGCGGAAATATGCCGGAAATCCGGTAAGAAGAGGTTAAACAGCATAGGACTCAGTGTCTTTCCTTGTAGCACACCTTCAGTAATTTTAATATTTTGCGACAGCCCTCCAGCGATTAGTTTTATTTGTGATACGCGTTACCATACATTTTTCTCAGAACTCGTATTATTTTCCCACTCAAATCTATAGAAGTGTGTGCCATATTAAGGTGTGATTGAAGGAGTCAAATTCCCGACTATAGTCAACAAAAAGAACCAAAAGATTTGACTTATCTCTTAAAAATTGGTTTTGGATAACAGTATTCAAGAAGAAAACATTATCCAAGCAGCTTCTGCTGCTTCTGAATCCTGATTGTTATCCCAGACAGTGGCGGATCCAGGAAATTTCTCACGGGGAGGGGGAGAGGGAGAGGGGAGCACCTCTGTACCAAGTGCTTCTCCCATCCTACCCATTCCCCCACCACTACCCATCTCCCCCCACTCCTTAGCTGAGTTTAGCCGCACAAAAGTCATCTTTAAATAATTTAACAAAAGCAAACTCAATTTTTATTTAAAGTAAATTTTGTCTAGTTTACAGTGAAGAAATCGTTAATTACTTAAATTTATTATTTTTTTGTTATCACTTCCTATTCAACAAAAACGTGACTTCTATGAAAAATCGCAAAACTTTAATTCTCTACTTTCATGCTGAAAATCGAACCATTGTTTATATAATTTTTTTTTGTATTTATTGAGTTCTGCTATCACTCCTTTAAATATCTCTACTAACGAGACTAGTGCAGTCTAGGACAGAAAAACATGGAGGAAAACTCTTGAGGGAGCCAAGATCCAGTAATGGATTGTCGAGCTCGGGATGATGATATTGATCGCATTAGAAAATTCGTCCTAGACGATAATTTTTTCCTAATTTCTCTTTTCTTTAAATATATGTTTTTTAGTTCTTTGTTATAGGAATTTTTTTTCGCCATCCAAGGGAGTGCGTGCTCCCTGGCATTATTCACTAATGCTGGTCACGTTAATATTTTTTTTTTAAGTTACATTAGAAAATTCATCTTCTATGAGGATGAATTTTCCCTATATTTCTCTTTTCTCTGAATAGCTGCTTTTTGGAACATTTTTTCCAACTTCCAGGATGGGGAACGCGCGCCTCCCTGATGGATCCGCAAATGATTCCAGTATAATTCCGCTTTGACCCATCAAGCGATTCGTTCTAGCAGGACTTTGATAAAAATTTTCAGTTTGCCATAGTTATATAAATATATATTTATATTTTAACAGATTTCGAACCTTCGACAGTAATGTTATTTATATAAACAGGTTTTTCATAATGAAAGGAAACACATGCAACATCTTTGAGATTGGAGGTCTACTGAAAACTCTTGAAGACTGCCAATCATCACCAGTTCAGGTAACTAAAATGGCGAAAAACTCGAACAGTATCAATTTCGAGAAAGAAAATATCCAAATCAAAACTAGAGAGGTGGGAAATGAATCATCAGGACTGACTGAAAAGGTATCATGTTTTAATATTTTATTTTGTAATATTAATGTATATCAAAATTTTATACACGAGGAATACATGGGCGCGTACGATATGCCTCGCTGTAACTCACGCAACGACTGAAATAAGAGCTACTCAAACACGGGTACTTAAAGATGAAAGAGTATCAAAGTCCATTATTACTTTCACTTACCTATATATGTAATTTATAATAAGGGTAAGTGTTGCGATCGTGAAAATATTTGGATCTGAGTTTTCAACGGAAATAAACATTTTGATGTCCCCTGAGTCCAAATAACCAAGTCCCGCATAATGGCCTGTGTGTGTGTAAACAGCCTAGCTCAAAAACAAAAAGCAGTAAGAAACTGAAATTGCGTGTTAAAGGTTTTTGCAGCAACATTTTTGTCAAATCGGCAAACCTGAAGTGGTACTTCATATAATCGATTTAACACATTTTTGCGATTTTCTCAAAAACGGCTTTAACAATTTTGATTTAACTCAGTATATCCGTGTATTATTAAGCAGTTTTTAATATAATTTAGGTTTTATTCTCATCTATGTTCTCTAACAGGGCTTAAACGGCTAATTTTCAATATTAGCTTTCTCTAATGTACCTTTAATTTTTTTTTATTTGAAATAATTAACCATTTCACATCAATCTTTGATACATAAACTAGTTAAATATAAAATATGAAAAAAATTGATAATTAAATAAAGGATATATAAGAGATTGTAACGGATAATAATTGTAATGGAGGAACCAAAGGAATACAAGCGCGTCCAAGCTCACCAGAGATCACCCGAAACAGTTCATATGTACAGTGGCTTAATAATATTATTAATAATATAATATTATTAAGCCACTGTATTCATATGTAATATGAGCTTAATATAATACGGACTCCGACCATATCATGTACATATACATATGTTTTCAAAATGCTGTCGTAAGTATTATTGAAAATTTAAATGTATAGAATACAGCGATATAAAAAATAAAATTTGTCTACATATGGTGATTTAAGCAAATAAAAATACACATAATGAAATGTAAATAAATATAGCGTCTATAATTTTTAATTTCACTCCCTCTTTGTCTGAAAGCACTTATTTCTGCTAAGAAGAGGGTGTAAGTGAAAGTCGTGTGATGCGCGCACCAGAATATTTTTTACACAACTTAGAAGTTGATTTCAACTTATTTCGTAATAAACCCGCAACTTAATTAGTATGGACTTAAAGCTTAGTAAAAAAGAAAGTTTATGAAAATTAGGGTGTCTGTAGTATATTTGAAGAGTAAATAACAAAAATCGTAAGTAATTCATGATTTTTAAAAGCAGAATGGAGCTTAGTTTATCCCCTCAAAAGTCGTATTTAAAACAATGACAAACAAGTTTACAGTGAATCAATTTTATTTTAATTATATTAAATTATATTTTAGTTATAGTTTCCTATTCATCAAAAACCAGGACTTACTTAAAAAATCACAAATCTTAAATTTCCTACTATTCTGCCGAAAATCGAAAATTGTTTATATGGTGTTTTTTTTATAGCTCTTTAGGTCTACTATTACTTATTTAAATATTAAAATCCAATTACGAGACATCCTGCTTATAAACATACCCTAGGATTTTATGATTCATCACTCTCCCTAATGGCGTTGTCCACACTAAGAAATCAACAATATTTTTTACATCATTCATTCTTAGCTGAAAAAGTTCTAGAATTGTACAAAAAATGTTATGAAGTTCTCTCTTTGCCAGAAGTATTAACACAAATATGAATTTTAGTGTTAATGCTGACCTATCCAATAAATGTTTATCTTCATTAACCTTTCCTTCTTATTATCATTTTTAAATAATGACTCCTTGCAGTGTCCATAACTTAAACCATATGGTTTAATTCTTCAAGATTTTTACCATAAATATATTTTATGAAACCTGTATTGGATTTATTTCCAGCTTGGTAAAAACACATACTGTTTAAAGACCATGATGACCAAGCATGGTATGAGAGTCCATGTATTTCTGGCTTTGGCTTGCATTTGGACCCGTGAATAATTATTTATTAAATTTGGACTTGGAAATGGATCTTAACTATGGTTGGGATTAGGATTGCCAAGAGTTTACCAATTCAAATGATAAGGTAGAGAGGAATAAAAAAAAGAAAGAAAAATGACTTACCTAATGATAATAATAATAAAAAAATTGATTTTATTTTGGTCAGATGTAATCTTTTAATTTCGTTCTATTTTGTTATTCTCAAGGGACTATGTCCCAGAATAAAGTTATTTTCTATCTATCTATATATCCATCTATCGATCTATACTGTAATTTTAAATTGCAGATATAAAATTACAATTATGTTACTTGACAAACCACTTAATTGCACAGTTACTATATCTTTGCGATGTGAATAAAGATTATAAGTATAAAAAAATAATCATGTAATTAATTACTTTACAATTCTATCGTTGAATTACTTCAAAAAACCAATTATAATTCCGTCATCTTTAGTACTTGCTTAATGGAACTAACTTGCTTTATGGAATATTCCTTAGTATAAATGTTTTAATTTAATGCTAATTGCTTAATTTTTGAGCCACTTTACAGGCCAATAAATCTTATGGTAAAATCTTGTGAAATAATAATTTCTCAATGCTCATAGTCGTAGAAGTCTAGAGTATAAAAGGGATAATATCCTATACAATTAGGCCACACTTTATCTCGATCATGAGGTATATATTTACACAACTTTGTTCTCCACAAAACCTGAAAATATATTAACAAAATCCCACAAACTTGGGAATAAAAACCTTAAAATATTGGAATGATATTTTAAAAATAATATTCTGTAATTTTTCATATATAGATAAGATTTATGATGGAAATTTATCACTTAATATTACCTCATAATAGCACCTTGGCTGAGCCCTCCGTATATTGCAAGCACTGTTACGATAACAACCAAAAATAAAAAAACAGCAATCTGTAAAGTAGTGATAATTTGTTTGAAAAAAAAAGTACGGTAAATATGACAATATTTATATACAGATAATATTTTTGTAATCAGTTCAATTATGTTATTCAAAATTTACTGTAAAGTTTTGCTTATTGAAATTTTTTATTTTATTTCTTTCACTAACAGATAGGTATTAAATAATCCTAAACATCATCCATGAATATTAGAAATTTTTTTATTATTTTTTTTTATTATATTTTATTGAATAATAATACAATCAGCCACTGTTGGAGGGCTATAAGTATTAAGGCTAGAAGTTCTTATTCATACAGTATATACAAGTAATAAAGAAGTAACTATAAATATAAAAAGTAAATAAATAGTACTTATAAAAAAATGTAAATCAATAGGAAAAAAAAATAAATAAACAAACAAAATAAAATAAAAACTTCTAAACACATTCATACCTATATACAATATATACATTTGCCCAGGAATCTCCGAGCCTGGCTTTTCTCCCCACATGTGGAAGGCAAAGCAGGACTCCAGAGATCCCAGTGCCACTTTTCCAGATGCATCACTAGTATTAAAAGCCAGTGGTGGCTGAAGGAGGGCACTATAGCCACAGATGCTCAGGACTTGAGTGGAGAAGCTGGCCATTGCCAGGACTCCAGAAGCATATTTACAATAGATCTCGCGGCCACTGCCGGGGATTGTAGGGATGGTGGGAGCTGGATAGGGATTGAGCTATAGGGTTTGGATGATGGATAAGGTTCTGGTGAAAGTTTTAGAATCTGGATGGGATGATGTCGAGGACAAATGGGATGTTAAGGTCATGGTGTAGGGTCTTATTTGTGACATAATATGGGGCATTGACTATTGTTCTAAGTACTTTGGACTGGAAGGATTGGATGCGTTTGATATTCGAATGTTTATCAGTTCCCCACAGTTCAAGTCCGTTGGTCCAGATAGGTTTCAGTACTGTCTTGTATATTAAAAGTTTATTTTCAATCGAAAGATGAGATGTCCTGCTTAGTAGTCTATATAGCTGGCCATATCGTTGGTTAAGTTCTTGTCTTTTAAGTCTCGTATGTGGGTTCCAAGTTAGTCTTTTGTCTAGAAGGAAGCCAAGGTAACGGACTGTATCTGAGTAGGGAAGTTATATTGAATTGAAAAGGATTGTGGGACAGGATCTGCGTCGCAGGGTGAAAGTAATATGTTTGCATTTTGCTTCATTGATTTTGATGCGCCAGTTGTTGCACCACTGCTCAATCAAGGAGACGTGAGATTGTAGGTTTTGAGATGCTATTTGAGGATCTGAGTGGGAGGATAGAATGGCAGTATCATCAGCAAATGTAGCTAGGAAGGTATCGGGATTTGAAGGGATATCGGCAGTGAAAAGGGTGTAGAGAACATTAGAAATTAAACATTTTGTTTTTAAATCGAAAATTAGTGGACATTTAAAAATCTCAGTAAAAATAAATTAACTTTTGTTTGGATGAACAATGGTAAGGATATGCAGTAAAAGAATTATGTTTATTGAGTTTGCCCACTATAATAATCGTGACCAGCACCAGCGAATTCTGCCAGGGTGCGCGCTCTCCCTTGGATGGCAGAAAAAAAAACAATAAAAAAAAAGTATTCAGAGAAAAGAGAAATGTAGGAAAAATTCATCCTCTAAGGCGAATTTTCTAATGCGATCAATATCATCATCAAGAAATCGACAATCCATTAACGGATCCTTGGCTGCCTCAAGAGTTTTCCTCAATGTTTTCTTTTCCTGAGCAGCCTCCACCAGTTCCTGATTCCTTGGGTTCTGGCATCAGCACTTACTCCGTTTTCCATCTCAGTTTCGGTCTGTCCACTTCTCTCTTAAACCGATTCCATGCTCAGCAGCTTGTTTGGGATTGAGGTCTCGTCCATCCGTACAATTTGTCCCTCCGATCTCAGCCTGAACCGGATATATTTCGCCATATCCGGTTCCTTGTATAAGTTCGCTAGTTCTTGGTTGCGTCTAATTCTCCATTCATCATCCGCCTTAACTTCTTTCGAAAACTAATATTTTAAGCACCTATTTAATGAAAAGTGAAATATAGGGAAAATTCACCCTCATTGACGAATTTTCTAAAGTAATATATTATCGTGATGAGCACCAGTGAATTCTGCAAGGAGGCGACCCTCCCCCTGGATGGTGGACTAAAAATTCGGAAAAAGTCCAAAAAGCAGCTGTTCAAAGAACAGTGATGTAGTTTTTGGGCCGCCGTGATGCGAAGGCTTGTGCTTCTGTCGCAGTTTGTCCCTATTGACTCCGAACTGAGTCTCGCAGGTGAAATACATGATGAAGGAAAATTTAGTGAAAAAAAATTAACTTCATTTATTCTTTCGAACAAACATTTATTCAAGCACAGGAAAATACGGGTTTTCTCTCGGGCCCAGTTTTTATTCAGTTCCAATAGATCTGGATGCATCGCAACCTCCAGCAACTATAGTCATATTGGAGAATTCGTGTGATTCATAAAACTTGTCATTTCTCATTAGAGAGTGTCGTTGTGTTCTTGAAATAGCTGCTGTTGGGAATGGTTTTATAAGTGGAGTTCTAATTATTTGGTCTCCGATTTCATTGCAATCAGAAATTATTCTGAGTTTTTGTTCTTAGAGAACTCATTTTCAAGTCTAAACCCATTTATAGGGTGTCTCGTAAGTAGAGGAAAATATTTAAGGGAGTGATTGGAGAACTCAATAAATACAAAAAAGATTACATAAACAATGGTTAGATTTTCAGCATGAAAGTAGAGAATTAAAGTTTTGCGATTTTTCATAGAAGCCACGTTTTTTGTTGAAATAGTGATAACTAAAAATTATTTAATTTAAGTAATTAACGATTACTTCACTGTAAACTAGATAAAATTTACTTCAAATAAAAATAGAGTTTGCTTATGTTAAAATCATTTAAAGAGGACTTTTGAGCGACTAAAGTCAGCTAAGGAGTGGGGGGAGATGGGTAGTGGTGGGGGAAGCACCTGGTAGAGAGATGCCCCCCCCCCGACTGAGAAAATTCCTGGGTCCACCACTGGTATAGTCGACTAACTTTCTTCAAAAATATTTCATGGATATGCTTATAACCTTAAATGTATTTACTGTAGTTTAATAACTCTGGATCTCATATTATATTTAAATAATTAAGTATCTATCGTCCGTTTATTCCGAAAAATAATCATGTAACCTTTTAGAAAATTAAGTTAGTGAATAATTTGATGAATTTTCCAGATTTGATATTCCAACAGTATCCACTTACAACTTTTTACCTTTCTATGACAGATAATGCAAATCTCTTAATTACATTTAAGTAAACTTTGAAATCGAAAATAACATTTTAATAATTAATAAATATACAATCCACTAGCAACGGATCGTACAATCCATAATCAACCGGTGATATAATAAATTGGACTTTTATTATTTTAATGGTGTTTATAATTTGTTAACTGTAAGCCTTTACCTTTAGCTCGGTTAAAAATGCAAATCAAAAATTTTATAATAGCCCAATATGGCCTGAAAATAATTTCAATTCAAGAAAATAAATTCAAAGTTGAGCGGTAAGTGAAAGTTGTGTATTACGCTCAAAAGATTTTTTTAAATTTGTTCTGTTTATTGAAAGATTTTCTGCTGTCTTAGTGGATGATAACTTCTAACTATATTGGTGTATGCAATCCGTAATAGATCGAAAACAGAGGTTAGAAGATTAAACATGTAATAATTAACATATGATTGATCTAATATAGTTTTAAACTTTGTAATGAACAAGTTACAGGCTCTCACTTCACTACTTTATTCACACAAGTTTGATAATGTCAACCATTCTTGAGCAAATTAAATTTAACGCTATGATGTTTCAATGGCATATAATCAATTATTATTAATCATTTCTTTTTTTTTAATTTTAATTGTTTTTTGTGTTAATATCGATTACTTTATGAAACATGCTAAAGAAATGTACAAAATTACTTGACATTGAGACGGCAGATCGCTTGGAGACCACCTCCCATCGTCCGTCCTAGTTTCCATTTTGCAATAAGGTCTGCTGAATGGAATTCCGCTATTCTGTCACTTTATTGTAAAGCATAGCCCACTAAAAGAAGCATTTGCGTATAAGCGGAAAGAAATACTGTGATATTCACCACAGGATGTCCTTCAACTGTACTACCTCATTGCTTAACACGATACCCTGGAGCTCATCCTTGATTCGGGGTTTCGAATTCCACAGGTCACAGGTGAAGGTCATTGAAACATTTGTTATAGACGTGCTATCATTAATTTTTTTTTTTTTTTCTGAATTAAGGTACCCTACGTTTAGCTAAAATGCGTAGCAGAGGAGGGTGGGCAGATGAGGTAAAAGAATAACACAATAGTCAGGTATTAAACTCTTCGACAAAGATCCCAGGAGTCTTTGTGTTAGAAGAGCCTATGACCCAAAGAGTGCCTGCTCTATAGTGGTGGAGTATTTAATAGCAATCTGTTTAATTTAAACAGTTTATTTCATTAAAAAGAGATAAAGTAAACTGTTTCACTCAAGATTAAACAGATACAAGGATTACCTTCCATTAGGAGCTGAATTTTTCTTGAAATCTGCATTGAACTCAACGATGCCACCGAATAGATCTCTAAACAGAGCAAAACGAAGCCATCGATGAACTCAGTGTTGAGTTTAGGAATCTACCTAAGACAACTCACTTTACAGGTTAGTAGTTAGTAGGTGGAGACAGCAATCCCGAAGTGAAAAGAAGGAAACACTCAATATATTTTATTTAAAAAAAATCATCTCTAAAAGTATTATTGTTCGTGTAATTACATTTAAAAGGGCTTTAGGAATCACTTAAACACCATTTCATATAGGTAGTTAGTTTCTTTCTTGTTTTTCAAAATAATTATCGTTGTTTTGATGAAAAAAAAGCTTTCGGGCTGAAGTCCCCAAAATTAAATCCTGGGTCCGCTAGTGTCTGAAACAGATAAGGCCTTCCAAAGCAGATACATTCCTCTAAAATAGGTACAGCCCTCTGTAACTGATTTAGAAACTGCTTCTTGTAGCAGTACAATATTACAAAACTTTTTCTTTTTAATTTCTATGAAACACCGCCCATCGAATTGTTGTGACCTATAAACAGCTATACTGTTTACTGTTTAGTGAACAGTTTTAGCAACTCATGTTTCTTCTAAATCACTATTCGTTTATTATTTACATTCAATTATAATTTTAATGTTACTTAGACTTTTATCAGCAATCAAAAATAACTTTTTTTTATCCCACAGTTGATATATTATGAAGGTATAATTTTAAATTTAACATTTAAATTGATAATTACTTTGAAGACATAAATTATATTCATCGAAAACTAAACGTTTATTATTAATAAGGCAATCTTTTTTTTTTAAATAGCGAAAATTTATCAAGAATACTACGAAAAAAATATGTTAATAAAAATACAGCTCTAAATCACGGCTACATATATACATAAATACATACATATATATCACAATTATGCATAACGACTCATAATAAACATGGTGTGCCTTAATTTATAATAAAATATAAAATACTTAATAATTTTTAATAAACTAGAAAAAAAAACGAAAAACCCGTCAAATGGGCAAAATAAACTAAATCTCCATTTAAAACTAGAAGTAAATCAAATACCATAAATCCAGAGCCATCTGCACCAAATATCAGAGCCAGCAAGAATATCAGAGCCGCTTCAAACAGACTTCGGAGTCTCAAGGTATCTCTGATCCCGAGCCGGCTCTTATATTTTTTTCTAAAATTCATGATTTAATCTCATTTGGCCAAGAAGCTGCAAATCTTATCAGACAAACAAACATTCGATGTTTTTCCAATAAAGTTAAGATCAACACAAATTCTAAAGAAAACTATAAAATACTTATCAACTACTCCACGATTAAAAACTATGATATCGATTGCTCCCAATTGAGAGAAGAAAAGGCATATCGAATGGTTTTTAGAGATATTCACTCTACCACCCCGATATCTGTTATCAAAACAGACCTAGAAGAAATAGGTCACAATGTTAGGTATATTTCATTCGTACTTCATTCAACAGAAAAATATCCACTACCGTTATTTTTGTTGATTTAGAGCCTGCCAGCAATAATATTGAAATATTTAATGTGAAGCAGCTTTTTTACTCAACTATTAAATTCGAAGAGCCAAGACAAAAACCTGTTATAGTGCAATGCACTAAATGTCAAGAATTAGGACACACAAATACATACTGCCATCATCAAGCCAGGTACGTCAGATGAGCCGGTTCACACGCTTCTGAAACTTGCCAAGAACCTCCTGATCAGCCTGTGAAATGTGGGCGCTTTATGCAGCGAACAACACCCTGCAAGCTATAAAGGTTGTAAAGTTTACAAACATATCGTTAAGCTTAGGTCTCAGAAAATAGGCTTAAAAAGTCTAAATCCGAGTCAGAAAAGTTCTACTCAGCCACCTGAAATTGAAAATAAGAGACAATTCCCAGAATTACCCGAAACTACGCAACAGCCTTCTAGGCAGCAGTCGTCGATCATCAGGAATCCAGAAAACCGCACTCAAGTACTAAGAGTAATTAACATCAGCCTCGAACTCAACGGACGCTCCAGACCTCCAAATCTTAACCCCTCAATACTTCCGATCCTCAGTCTCAACCTCATCATCAGAAAATTCTTATCCATTATCTACCCCTAAGGGTCAAACTATCCTCAAAGCACCCTTATCCATCCTATCCTAAGGTCGAAACAAAATCTCCCACACAAATACCTTCGAATGCAAACCTACCTCTTACAAAACAACAGATCCTGCCTTCAGCTATCACTCCTAACCATACTGATCACCCACCACAACATCCTAATCCAAATTACCTTAATAACCAACATCCAATAGACATAACTACGATCCTTTCATCCTTCCTATCATATTTACAAGATACTACAAATCCTCTTATCTCCCTTCTCGTCAGAATCCTGACCACAATCCCATTTCATTTTCTATGATAAGTGCAAGACCCCTAGCTATCCTTGAATGTATTGAAGCAAAACTGGATATTCCACTCCTATTGACTCTTCCACCTAAAGCATTCCATATTTCAGAAATATCCAATATCATTAACAGATCGCCTTCCCGCAAAGCTCCTGGACACAACCTCATTACTTCTCAGATCCTAAAATTGCTTCCTTGAAAAGCCATATTATTCCTTACTTATATATATATAATGCAGTACTTCGTACCACATATTTTCCTGACTCTTGGAAATTGTCCATTGTCAAAATGATACACAAATCTAAAAAGTCACCAGAATACTCATCCTCTTACCGTTCTATCTATCTTTTACCCATCATGAGCAAAATCCTGGAAAACTCATCTTATAACCCCTGTATCCCATCCTTGATTCTAACCATATTATCTTAGATGACCAATTTGGATTCCGCACATCCCATTCCACTATTCACTAATGTCATAGTCTCCTCTGCATGGGAGCACAGGATGTACTGCAGAGGAGTCTTTCTCAATGTTAAATAGGCGTTTGATAGAGTTTGGCATCCTGGATTGATGTACAAACTCAATAAACTCCTACCACCTACATACTTCCTTATTATCAGTTCCTATATTACTGATAGATAAGTCAAAGTAAATCACAACAATACCTGTTCACCCCTTGATATCATATCTGTGAATCTCATGAATGAATTTAAAAAAATTAACTAAATAAATAGGTATATAAAAAAATCAATCAAATTGTCACCTATATATTTATATATAATGAATTCAATTGAAAAAGCTAGTAACTTTTCTTTTAATATATGATTAATGTGAATAAATGAATAGTAAATGGTAATCTAAAAGATGTGAAAATTGGGAAATAAAATAAAATTAAAAGACAACAACGTACTAAAACATTTTATTGGTTTATAACACAATTTACAGGTAATTATTGCACTTTTTTACATTTAGTAACATTTTCCAGTGTATAAGATAAATATGAATGAATTGCTTTTCAATAAAGTATTTACACATTCATAAATATATGCAAAATATTTTGATCCAATTAAACATAGCTCATTAAGTTTAGAAAAATTAGTAGTAGCTTCATCTACAAATATTTGATTATGGTCTATTGTGAAAACATTTACTGTTAATTTATTGAAGCGAATATGTCAATCTACAAAGATCACTTCTATTACAACTAATATGAAGAGGAGAACAGATGAGATTCTGATAGATAAGTTGAAGATAGATATCATTACTAATCAATAATAAAAAACATGACTAAGCAGTTTAAATGTTACAAATAGATAATTTGAAAAACATTTTATCATTTTATTTATTTCTTTTCCATTAAAAACAGTTCTTTATTTATTTAAAGCTCCTTCAACAGTCATATAGGGTGCAAATTACGTATCAGCGAAGAACAATTTAATTTTTCATAATAATTGTCTTTTTTTTATACTATTAATGCATTATGTTTTTTCATTCATTCATATCTAATCTAATCATATTTTTTAATTCATTAAAATCTACAGAAAATGTTGTGTAATATATAAGATAATATTGTAATTTTATAAAAATTATTTTATGTTGAATGATTTAAATAATTTCTGTTATTATCTTTATATGATTATAAAGGACCCAATATATGCTATCCATCATAACTCGGTATATACAACACTGGCTTCTCTTATAAATAATATGTTTCAGTCTATTTCTGGTACAACATTAGGAATAATAAAGGAAATATAACTAGACATTGTTCCCAAGTATGTGGAATTTTTTTCACAAATGTACATGAAATAAAAAATAAAAAAATATGACAAGTATCAAATTTTATAATGTAATTACATGGTAAAATACAAGTAAAAATAGTTGTTAACTAAAAAAAAAAAAGAAAAAGAAAAGCAGTGGACGGATCAAGGATAAAAATAAATATTTATGTTTCACTTTACTTAGTTTTTCAAAAAATATAAATACTTTCAAAATTAAAATACAAAATTTATCAAATTCAGTCCCTAAATAAAATTTATAATAGCAACAATAAATAAGATTATACATGAATGTTACAAAAATAAATAAAATAATTTTCCACCATCTTTCTTTTAGGTATAGCCATTTTTTCTTTTCTTGTCCTCAACTAAAATCATTTAAAATGTTTAAAAAGTCATTCTCTGATTCTTTTGTTAGCTTGCATCATTATCATTGGTCATGTCAAAATTTTGCATTCCTGTGTTGGAAGCTAACAGTGACCAATGTTTGATATTTTCCCGAGCACCATCTGTCATTACATTCAGCTTTGGATTCATCTTCCCCAATGACTGTAAAAAAATGTGAAAATAATTTTGATTGATAATTTAAATTCTGATTGATAAGTTAAATAAAGAACGGAAAATTTATAATTCTAATAATTTTACCAATTTCAATGAATAACCAACAAATACATCCCTATAAAAGTTAATAAATAAACAGTTTTGTTTAATCAGTTTCATTAGAACTCTTTTTTTCAAGTTGTAAAATATATATATTTTATCAGTATGCAAAATTGAAGTATGTTACAATGTCTTTCTGTTAATCGGATGTCAATCAGAAGAAGGAAATCTATCCACACAGTAAATAAGGTAGCTTAGAATACAATAAGTTTTTCCTATTTTCGGAAGAAAAGAACAATCTCTTCATTCAGGAATATTTAATAGAAATTCAAAATTGAAAATAAATATTGAAAATAGATATTTTTTCTTAAATAAAAATAAGAACTAAACTACAATAAAGTTAATTTTTGATCAATATTTTGAGTTAGAATTTTTTGAAAATATAAATTTCTATTACTTTCTTAAAAAACTGAATTGCAATGAAGTCAATTTTTAATCATTATTGGATAAAATAGCAACATGTAGCAGACAGCATTGCAGGGAACAAGGAATAATCTTGGTCAATACCTCAGTAGGACAGTTACTCAGAGTGCAGTTTATTCAGCATGTGCTTAGAATCCTCTGAGATGAAATGTTTTTAATAGATAACTGAAAACACGTGGTTATAAAATACTTACCTGGTCAGTCAGTGTTTTGTAGTTCTTAAGTTTTTAGTTATTAAAAGTATAATATTCTTAATTGTTGCTACCATGCTTACGTTTGTATCCATTCTTTTCTTTGTCTGTGGCAGGACTCATCATTTTGTTATTCTCTTATATGATTGATATAAAATGTTCTTTTGTCACCTATATTTTGTATGTATATTGACAGCAGTAACCTTGGTGACGTTCTCCAACAATATTAGTGAAATATAGAATCAACAAGGTTAAAAATATTGTGGATTGGAATCTTTAATGGAAATATAAATTTCCATTACTTTTTTTTTTTTAAATTTTTATTAAGATATATTACAATCTATCACATTTCAGGATAATAGTAATAATGATAAAGAGTAGTTCATTCACACTATGCACAATGTATACAAATATATACATAGCAAAATAATAGTACTAAATGTAAATATAAATTAATCAAAATAACTACTTAAATACACACACGCTATTATACAACATTCATTCACTTAAGGTCTCCGAGCCAAGCCTTTCCCTCCACTTGTTGAAGGAAAGACAGGACTCTAGGAGATCCCAGCATCTCTCACTTAGCCACATCACTGGTATTTAGGACCATTGAAGGCAGAGCAGAGGTGCTATAACCAGATATGGAGTGGAGAATCTGGCCATTGCCATAACTCCAATATATTCTTACAACAGGTCTCTGGGCCACTCCCACTTCAAGCTTCTCGGTATGAGGTTGTAGGCATGAGTAGAGCTAGAGAGAGATTGTGCAAATGGATTTGGATAACATGTAAGATGTTGATGGAATTTGGAAAATTTTAAAGGGACCTTATGGCCTAGGACAAATGGGATATTTAGGCCACGGTGTAGGGTTTGGTTGCTTATATAGAATGGAGCATCAACTATTGTTCGAAGGACTTTGGACTGAAAAGATTCAATGCATTGGATGTTAGAAAATTTTGCTGTCCCCCACAGTTCCAGTCCATAGGTCCAAATAGGTTTGAGTATTGTCTTGTAGATTAGTAGTTTCTTGTCAGTTGAAAGTTGAGATTATCTAATCAGTAGTCTATATAGCTGGCCATATTATTGGTTGAGTTCTTGTCTTTTAATTCTAGAATATGGTTTCCATGTTAGTCTTCGGTTTAAGAGGAAGCCAAGATGCCAGACTGCGTCTGAGTAAGGCAGCTGGATGGAATTAAAATGTACTGTTGGGCAGGAATTGCATCGGAGATATAAATTGCAGGAATGTCCTTGCATCGGAGGTAATATGTTCGCGTTTCGACTCATTCACTTTAATGCACCATTCGTTGTACCAGTGTTCAATTAGGGAGAGGTGCCTTTGTATACTTAAGGATGTTATTTCAAGATCTAAGTTAGATGATAGGACTGTGGTGTCATCAGCAAATGTTGCAATGAAGGTATCGGAATGAATGTCAGCGGTAAAGAGGATTTAAAGCATAGGACCCAAGACGCTGCCCTGGGAAACACCTGCTTTAATTGGATAGATATCGGAAAATGCTGTTCCACAGCGTACTCGAAAGGAGTGGTCAGAGAGGTAGGATTGAAGGATTAGGTATACGGACTAAGGGAGATAGATTTTAAGCTTGAAGAGCAGCCCGGGGTGCCATACCCGATCAAAAGCCAACGTTATGTCCAGAAATGTACCCTAAGAGTATTTCTTGTTTTCTAAGGATGCTGATATATGATCAAGACTCTAAGTCCTTGTTGAACAGTGGAATGTTTTGAGTGAAAACCAAACTGATGGGAAGGAAGGTTTTGGAATTCTATGAGAGGTAGGATTCATTTCAAAAGGATCTTTTAAAGATTATTTAAAGGATTGGGAGTAGCCTAATTGGTCTATAGGATGTCAAGATGTTGGGACATTTGCCTGGTTTTGAGAAAAGGATAATGGTGGAGTGTTTCCATAATATAGGAAAGTGGATGGTGCGTAGGATGCAATTTTAGATATACGTAAGGAATATGACTGCTTTGTATGGAAGTTGTTGAAGGATCTGAGGGGCAAGGAGATCATATCCAGGAGATTTACAGAGGATTAGCTTTTGTAAGGAAAATGTAATAGGTGACGTAAGGAATTCTTCAACTGTTGTGGTGTGGGCAAGATGGGAATCCAGATGGGGAATAAATGTATTGGAGAGGTGTTTGGTGAAATCTTCAACTTTATCTTTGTCAGACGCTGCCAAGGAGGAAAATTTGGTGAGGGTTTAGGATTTTGGTTTTGGTTTTCCAAAGAAAATTGTCAGGAGCAGAGGAGGAGGATAGGTAGGAGTTAAAGTATTGTAATCTAAAAGTGGCTAATTCCAGTTGTATTTTTTTGCAGTAATAGTTATATAAGCTTCAGTCAAATATGAACTTCTTTATTTGATTTACACCTCTCGGCTTGATAGAGAAAATACAGATTGTCCTCTCTGTAACCTACCAGTAAAGGAAGACCTATTCCATTTTGTGGCTGAATGTTCAATACTTTGCCAAATTCATATTGAATTTCTTGGAACTAGCCCGGTTTGAAATTATATTTTATTTTATCTTCTAAATGCCCCTATGTGAACAAATGTCGAAAACTTGTCAGTTTGGCCGACATGCTTGGATCCACTGTTTTAATTTGCTACATCCAGCATAGACAATGATCTGTCTAATTTATTTGTGCTTAGTTTTATTCATGTTATTGTTTATGATTTCCTTCATTTTCTTTTATTATTATTTCTAGTTAAGAATTATTCACAATATTTATTATTTTATATTTATATTTGTTGTTTTAGTATTTAGATGTACAAGTAAAACATATAAAACTTCCGGCAGACAAATAATCATGCCATATAAATTTTCTGTAGTATATTTTGTGAAATTTATAATTTATACATTAAATAAAGCATCATTAAAATAAACAAAAAACGAAGAACTATTCAAGTTGAAAACCCAATTCTACAATATAGATTGATAAAAATTGTTATTTAGTTCCCTCTATGAATTCCTAACTCTATAAAAATTTCCCTCACCCTCAAAGATTTATAAACTTGTAAAATATGCTCCTCAAAAATGTTGATGGCACAATATATACCATGTCCCCCACTTCAGGACACTCCTGAAATTATATATTAACATTTCTTTCATTCATGAATTAAAAATATAGCAGTAAATATTAAATAATAATACCTCATATAATGGAAGACAAATATCAGATATCCATTTGAGCTGTAATTGAGGCAGCTCGTGAGCTCTTTCCCGGTCCATGAGTGCTATTGGCTGGATCTTAAGCTCTGTCTTTTCTTTGTCCCCTTGTTTCAAAAACTCGTCAGCAACAAGGTAGGCAACTTTTTTTTGGACATGCCAAGGCTTGCAGGAGGATGCGATGTCAGAAGCAGTCATTAACACAGACCTCAAAAGTTCTCTATGGTTTTCATTTCCCCATGAATACTCACGTTTCTCAACCAATGAAAAAAATTTTGGCCGGTTCCTGCAAAAGAATGAAAACAATATCAAATTAAAAACAAAATAATTAAATAATAATAATTTTTTATAATCAATTAATTTAACTTAATTGTTATCATAACACATATTATTTTTTGTATGATCTTGTATTTTTATTCTATATCTTATCCACTACCAAGCAAATTTCTTCATTTCTGGATTCCATTAGGAATGAAAACCTATCAGAGAATATCTAGTTTCTCTATAATCAAGATCTCCATACAATTGTTCCATAGTTCTCTTCAACAGGATTAAACAAATATACCGTATTTTTAAGAAATTATCTGAATTTTCTAAAGTTGATTTATATGGTTTCTTTACACAATTTTCATAAACAAATTATTATATAAATGAAAATATTTGTTTTGAATTTTTTCCTTTGTATTTTAATTGGAGATTAGAAATTAGAAAATTGGTACCTGAATTCATATTGTAGAATTGGGTTTTCAACTTGAATGGTGCCTTTATTTGTAACATCAGTAGGCGCACTGCATGGAGTGCACCATGCCTTTTTGATAGTGATTAATGTATTTTTTTTTGGTTGTTTAAATCCTAAATTCACTATTTTGTACATTAATATGTATTTATACAATTTCTAATAGTATTTATGTATATAAAGTTATTGTAACTTATTTTTCTGTTGTTTTAACTTACATTATGATACAAAAACAAACATTCTTACTTCTTTTTTTTTTTATATATATCCAATATTAGACAGGACATATTAAATAAAATAAATATAAAAATATTTTATGAACTTTGACTTAATAGGTTACTTCAGACAATAAGAAACAAATATAAATTATGTATACTTGATAACATAAATCATAAGTTTGATTACAAAACAACATAAGTTTAGTATCAAAGCTATTAAAAAAACGTAAAAACTAAAATATGAAAAGTATCAAATTAATCGTCAACAGATTATTTTTGCCGATAACATGAAATGCACACAGACTCAATTACAAGATGGACTTTGTAATTGTATTTTTTATACTTGGAACGTTGGAATGTTTTAGTTGTGTTTCTTTTTTCTTTCACACACATGAAATTTTAAAAACTTCAATTCAACCATAAATACCAAAAATATTTAAGAATAACTAAAAGTATAACACGAGTGGGCGTACCGCACAAAGTGTGCCACAATACACAGGCGGATCCACGGGGGGAGGCTCTCAGCCTGAAACTCTCCAAAATGGTAAAACATAACCAAATCTTATGAAAAAATCATCTCTAAAAGTATTATTGTTCATGTAATTATATTTAATAGGACTTCAAGAATCAATTAAACACCATTTCATATAGGTTTATTTATTCTTCTCTGCATTACTTTTCGGCTACACGGGTCCACAGGGATGGTATATCAAACAACTAGGTGTACACCATCCCTGCTATTAAACATATAAGATTTGAAACTTAAAAAAAATTTTGTCGCCTTCAGTTTTTCGGGTAGATACTTAGCCGTCTCTGTACTCCACATCTGGGAATAGAGGATCCATTTATATCTTTTCAAAGGCTATCCAAATTAGAGCACAATTTCCCATCCCTGTAAGGGATTGAGAGAAACAGTAGTCTGGCAGAACCCATTTCGCTTCCAAGCGGTTCTAGATGGTGAGGAAATATTTTCTTAAGGTAGCTCATTTAGTGATTTTCATCTACCACTGATTCCACTCATCTATATTAATCTTCCCCAGTGATATTTTTCCATTTCCGTGGGTCTTCAGCAATTCTTACAATGATATTCATTAAGAGAATACCTCTCAATGAGTCTTCTCGCAGGATGAGGATTAGAGTTAAGATCTGCACCACCTCATGAGAGACACTTCGGTATGGCTTGATGATGCGGAAAAGAGCCGTACATTGAATCGTCACAACCTTTATTTCAGCAGGTGTGAGAGGTTCTGTGACCACCCAGGAGATGCGTGCCTCAGAATATGCAGTGTCTCCCCATTATAAATGGTCCTTGTAGCTGAGTATCTGAGGCCCAAACATGTACCACCGAGGTGACTAAGGTCATTCAAGAAATTAGACTTTCCTGATTCCATCCATCATTCACAATATTACTTATATACTGCCAAATCTGCTATTTCTTTCATCCTGTGCTTGAAGTTACCCAAAGCAATCAAGGCAATGATATGAGGTTGAATATTGAGAAGACCAAAGTCATTCTCATTAGTCCCAAGCATCTTCTTAATTCCATTCTTTATTATCCCCTACTCATTTTTGGTGGACTACTTATTGGCTTTCACACTTCTGTTAGAAATGGAGAAACCTTGTGGTAATATTTGATAAATAACTGTCCTGGAATAACCATAATTTCAAAATGATCTGGAAATCTATTGCTACCTTCAAATAGTTCCTGAAATTAAGCTTGTCAGTCTATCCCCCTTAAAATGTGTCAGCTCTAAGTTTGCTTTCTCATTTTTCTCCAGTTTGGTTATGGCTGCATTACATAGGATGGGCTGTCTGGTGAGTTTGAAATCAGATTAAAGAAATTAATGAATAATTTCATTAGATTCATTTTTGGAGACCCTAGGTGCTCGCACGTTTCCAGTTGGTATGTCAAGTGGAAGTGGTTCTATATAGTTTTCCGATAGTAATATTTTCCAGATATATTCTTTTATTACTTTTTCAAGCATTTAGAACCAAGAAATCTTCTAACCTTGATTACTTAACTCCCTATTCTTCTTCCCATTCTTTCAACATGAGAATCCAGCACACAAACCTGAATATTTCTCCTCTTAGAACTGTTTCCTTGTTTTCTATTAATTAACTATATTGCTTATTAGTGCTAATATGTAAACGCTAGATACCTGATGGTCTGCGATTCTTCGCCAACATGCCAAACCTGTGGGACTCCTCTGACAGTGAAACACATTTTAACAGAATGCAGGGCTTATGTAAATATTTAAAATCTCTTGTGACTTGACAAACGATCTACACTTCATTTTACAGGACAATACAAATGAAATTGATAAACTATTTTCTTTTCTGAAATATTCTAAACTTGAAAATACAATCTAATTCTCAATAAGTAATTTACTTTTATTTATTAAAGCAACAATGACCCTAGTGATTAAAGCCTTAAAAAAAATAAATAAAAAAAAACCTTGACCTATTCATATCCAGACAAACACGGTATATCACATTGTAATAGTGAAACCATTCACAATTTATATATTATATAAAATTAAATCAGAAACAAGAAATATGAATGAAAACTGTAAGATGTATAAGATTATAGATACTACAGTGAACTTACTGAAAATAAGTAGAAAGATCAGTAGCAAGAATGCTATGCTTCAAAATCTTCATAACATATGAATAGTTTTCAGCACTTAGTGAAGAAAATATGTTTAGACTCTGAAAAAAAAAAATCAATTTGCCTTTAAAAAAAATATTATTTAATATAATATGAAAATAAAATGAAAATATAATGTTATTCTGGGACTACATAGGCTGTACTAATAATAATATGCTGTTCATAGGCATAGACATTTCAATGTGGTTGGGGAGAGGGCGATGGACCTCCCTATAAAAAGTCTCTGAGGTTTATATTATGTATAAAAAAAAAGCAACATAATTATTGTAAAACGAACAATATAATACTATATATGAAAAAAAAATATATGTATGTTTTTATTTATTTATTTTGTATGAGTTATGGGTATGTTTGAAAATATGTTAACAAATAAATTGAATATATTATATGTTTTTATTAGAACAATAAAGAACTGTTTACAGAAACTGGTCAATCAATATCACATGATATGAAGGTACGGAGGTCAAGATGGGTGGGGACATGTAACTCGTAGCAATCCATCCGGAAGACTCTACTTAACAATGAATGTCTCAATAGAAGGCAAAAGACCACTTGGAAGGCCAAAAAGCAGATGGATAGATAGAATCAACAAAAATACAATAGATAAATGGAAAGAAGTAGCCCAAGACAGGCAGAGATGGAGCAAGCTTGTTAAAGCAGAAAAAGATCTACAAGGTCTGTAATGCCAACAGAAAGAGAGAAAAAAGTATATATATATTTATTTAAAGGGTTAAGGTAGAGAACTCTAAATTCTCTGATGCTTCAAATTTGCCACAGGAAATATGATGAAATCTTTACATTAAAATCAAAGGGTGCCCTTGAATGAATCATAAAATCCTAGGATATAATGCTATATATTATTTGAATGTCAACTAAAATTTCAATAATAGGAACATAGGACATAGGACATAGCAAATATTTGCTTACCTACTTCTAATTCTTGGCCTAGCCATCTAATCGACTTTTCCTATTTTCTTAATTGAATTTAGTTTACATAATTTATTAATTCATGTAGATTAATTGGGTTTCTATTTTTGTGTTTCGAAATATTGGGAGGTGATTTTTTTTTTTATTGTGGGCGATCACTACCTTCCTCCCTCTCCCACCCCCTCCCGTTCCTCTGAAGTCTGCGCCTATGATGCTGTAAGATGTTTACCAAAATAACTTCAAAGTAAAGTGCTTGAATTTACTTTGTCAGCGAAGTTGTAAATGTACTGTTAAAGAAGACAACACATAATTAAAAATAAGCAATATAGATTGTTATTAAATGATTTAGATTATATTTACCTCACTGCTTAGAATCATCACAGCATGATTAAAATGATGGTGCTCCATTGTATTAGTGGTGCCATACAAAAGCACTAAAGCAGAACCAGCCCTAAGAAAAAGGAATGATTTAAAGTTTTAGGACAAATACTCAATTAAAAACTACATAAAACAATAAATACACTCACATAAAGAAAAGTCAAACTCATGAAAGGAAATATAACCGAATTCATGGTTGATTGGTAACACACCATAAACCAAAAAAATATTATTTTCATTTTGTATAGTTTTAGAATAGTTTTGTTCAATAATCAGTATTGTAATTAAAATAATAATAATAAAGACAGTTTTTGTTAAAATAACAAATGGTGATATATGGAATTTTGATTTAGAAAGTAATCGTACTAAAATGGGACCTGTTATTAATCAAATTTATAAATCCATTTTTTAAGGCTAAGAAACAATTTAAAATTTTTTTATTTAAAAATCTCTGTTATAGAAAAATTACAAAATATCATTAAGTTCTTGAAAAATTGCCAAATTATTAGTTCATTACACCATAATTTATGTAATTATTAATAAAACATTTTTTTTACTTTTGCTGATAGGCATTGTTAGTTCCCCTATGGTCCAAATCATGGCACAAGCAGCCGACAAACATTCCAAGCACTTCTAAGTCACTGAATGTTCCCTTCATTTCACACCCCTAAAACAGAATTGTTTAAACAATAATTTTTTATCCACATAATTATTTTAAAATATCAAGCAGCTTTTATTACAAAACAGATTGGAATAAAAAATAGTTAATTTTTGATCACTACACCCATTATATTATGAATAGAATCAAATCAAGTTTTTCTTGTCTAACAATCTGGCTTTATATCCCCAGCAGGTTGATAAGATCTTATGAAAACCTATGTGATATTTTTTTTTATCCAATAATAAACAATTTGAAGACAGTTTCAATTATAAATGAAACTAAACACCCCCTCAGATGCTAAAAAACTTTATATGCCAAAATTTGGAAATCGACAAACTAAATTCTAAATTAACATTTATTTTTATTTTTTAGAAATTAATTTTATTTTTGTCCAATAGTACTCTTCATGAAGAGTTTTTTTCTTCCAGCACACATAAAACTACATAGCAACCAGATACAAAAAATGAAATTCCAAAAATAAACAAAAAAATATCTGCAGAAATTGTATGGTTCTACTGCTGTATCTTATTTCTAACACTTTTAAGTTGTTTTGCGTAATTGTGTAATCGTCACAATAACTAACTTCATCCATACATTTATTTTTTCATTAACAAGATGGAAATTTTCAGTTATCATTATTAAATAATTAATATTGGGGCATCTAATGATAACATTCATGCTAGCAAGTCCGGTAATATAATCTCTGCATCATAAAAAAAGTAGCAGGATTAAATGTGAAACGATTCATAAATTATTTACATGTTATTGCTTTAAACACTAACCTTTCAACAAAATGAGTTCACTAGACATACATTATAATAAATTCTGAATATTAAAAATTTAATGGTAGGGATAGAAATTTATAATTTCACAGTAAATCTAATTAAATAGACTCTGATTGAAGAATGTGGAATACGTCCCTAGTTTACCTTTCTCTCACCCCTCCTTTTTGGAGCTGTATAATGTAAATATCTTCCAAATATATAAAATAAAATAAGTATTGTTTGCTTTAGATTGAATCAAACATTAAATAACCAGTCAAAGAAGGGAGTATGAGGCTTAAGTATAGTATATATAATTTACTACAAATATAATATAAATTACTTCGAATGAAGAACGGAAAGAAACGCTGTCCATGAAGTTGTATCGTAGCGTTGATGGTAAGACATTAAGGGAGTAAAAAACTGCCATCCATCAACTCATTGGTTGACAGACTATGCCGCTCCGGTAACAGGATGGACTTTCATACAGACGATAAGAACCCACATAAATACCCTCGCAACCTGAGTGAGATTATCTAGAGGACGTAGGGCCTTTATGCCGACCTTATGTAGGAGCTGAGTGCCCTGCAAGAGAAACTGCCAGCCACATTATACTAAACTGCATTTTGTTTCATGGTGGCAGAGTGCAGCAGCATGATACAGTGGTGAACATTGTGGTGAAAATTGCTCTCCATAAGAAAGGATATAGTGTCACAAAGGAACAAAATCTTTATTGGCAATAAATGAAGGTGGAAGCCAGACCTGGTGTGCTTAGGACCGAGCGGAAGCTTTATTATAGATGCACAGATTGTCAGATATAACCTAGCACCAACCACTGGAACAATGTTAAAGCCAATAAATATAGGGACCTAGATTGTAGGATTGAGATCAGGTGTACATTAGGAGTGCCAGGCAGGGACATTAAAGTACTCCTGCTCACAATAACTTGGAGAGGAATATGGTGCCGACGCTCTTTCCAAGACATGGATATATTGGGCATCCCCCATAGACTTATTTGGCATCAGTCAATTATATCGACAACCTGGAAAAAAAGGTTACAGTACATGACACTCAAAGGGAACTAACAAATTACAAACAATAACAATTTTACCAATCATGAGAAAAGTCCTAGTTAAATTAATCAATAATAGACTGAAAAAATATTCAACTTCTAACCAAATATTGCACCCTAATGAGTCCAGATTCAGACCAAAAATACAGTAGACACTCTGCACAAGACAATAACTAACATTGAAAGTGCTGTGAAAACAAAATCTAATTACATTATGTTCAAACTATACATTGTTGGAGCTTTAAAAAAATACATAGACGCCAATAATATTAGAAAACTTGATTAAATAAAATTATCCAAAAAATATCTTTTCATCGATTTCAAATTTTTTAAAATTGAAATTAGGACAAATCACTAAACATAAAAAACAAACATAACAGCTGGTAGATTCATGTCTTTCTCCTACACTCTAGAATGTCCTTCCCAACACAATTCTCGATTTACATTTGCCTGACAGAGCATACATCTTAGTTTATGCCGTGGATATTCTTCTTCTAGTAAAATACAAGCATTTACCAAAATTAAAAGTTCTGACCAACCAATCTCTTTTCATCGTCTATTCTATGTTATCTTATTCAATATCTATGTTTTACAGGAAAGCTGAAACTTCCCAAGTTGAACATTAGACTGTTCTCCAAAACACTATAGCAGACCGAAAAAATGAATTATCTAGGATAAACTTTCGACCATAGACTGAATTAGAAAATTCACACAGACATAGTAGTTAAAAGATCTCTGAAGACCTTAAATACCCTCACCATTACAGCAAGGCTTACCTGAGGAATATTGACCCAGGTTTTAAAGTTAATCAATGAATGTGCGATAATACCAAAACTATTGTATGCTGTACCTATCTGTGGATCAGGTGGCAAGAAGCAGACCGACCCCAGCAAACTGCAACGGGTACAGAGGCTGATGGCCATCTAGATAAGCAAAGCCTTTAACACTACTTTACATGATGATGTCTTAGAAGGTGTACTTCCAATACATTACAAAATCACAGTACACAAAATAAAACCCTATATAATAAAATTCAATCTTCCTAGGTCTCTTTGCTCTTCCGATTCAATTTCTTTGACACCAGAAAACAAAAGTATCTGAGGCTAATCTACGTATCCCATACATTTTTACAAAAAAATTACATACTTTTTTTTTATATATAGGATGTAAAATGGTTATTTATACACTTCATCAACAGCCAAGAAGCAAAAGTCTGAAAAAAAACAAACTAGTAAGTCTTGGCTTTGTACATATTCTGAAATACAAACCGAAAAAGTTACTTAAAACATTTAAGCGTTGTCTATATTTGTGCAGTAAAAATTGAACAGATTTTTTTTTTTATTAATACATATATTTCAGAATAGTTTTAGTTTTTGCTCCTCTAGACTTTTACAATGTTCCTGTCGTTATATTTATACATGTGAAATTGACCAAACATTAATTCTGTTATAAATTAAAAAAAAAGTTGATAATTATATAAAAACTAAATTAAAAATTTACCATTAAAATTGCAAACATCACTTGTGCCACGTTAAAGGCATGTTTCCAATTGTGATAAGGAACATCTCTATAATTTTTCTTAACTGTCATCAGGAAACGATACAAAGTCTGAAATGAATAAATATTAAGTCACCTTAGTTAATTTACAATAGAATAAATATTCTAAACAAGTACATTATATATATATATATATATATATTAGTATTCTAACTAATTTTTTTTTAACATTCATGAAATTTACAACTGTATACAAATAAATATACATCTAACTATTAAATTAGTGATTACATATCAATTTACTCACAGTAGCTTTAATAAGGCTGTAATAAATATGGATGAAAGAATGAATAATTGAAGTAAAGATTGGTTGGGACGATCGGTAAAAAAAAACTGACTGATCACCCCAAACAATCTTCTCTTCAATTATTAACAACAGTTAACTATCAATCCACAATTATGAAGGAATGAATAATAGTGTGCATTTTAGTTTTATGTTCATAAAATCATGAGCAGCTCTTTCTTATGTCTCTTCCTCTATTTAAGCTTCTTGTATAATGTTTTATTTTTGTACTGTATTTCATTCAATATGCCTCTAATTATATTATTAATAAGCTAAAATTAATTTGACTCATACGCTTTTGCAATTTTTTTTTTTTTTTTCAACAAGTGATAGCCACTTATTAGATATTAGTTTGGCAGGTAATACTAACTTAAATTTGGCACTGAATGTGTCATAAAAAAAAGTTAGGAACTAGAGAATAATTGAAGGAAGGATTAAAAATATTTCAATTCTTTTTACAGATTTTATTTTTTTATAATCCAAAATAATTAGTATCTCATATGAAAAACCAAAACACAAAATGAGAAATAGACATATATATTAATTGGTTAAAAATGTAACATAAAATACATTTTAAAAGCTAAGATAAAAAGTAATACAAACTTGCATTTTAACATGCATTAGTAAAAAATGGATAGTTGGAAATTAAAGGATAACTAATTGAAAATATCACAAAAAAAATAAACAAAACAAAATGAATACAAAAATAATTAAAACACAAAACTAATCCATGAGAAACAGTAAGTAGATAAATGTATTAAAAAATATGCATATCAATGTTCAAAACATGAGATATTATAATTTTAAAAAACATGGAGTAACAAAAATCTGCAATTAGTATATAAAAGAAAATTATTCATGATTGTATTTAAAACTAACTGAAAGCATTTATTTTCTTGTTAATAATAATAAAAATATATAAAATATTTGATCCTGGACATAATATAACTTTTTGTCCAGTTAATTTATATATTTTTTCCTTTTATAGTGTTTATTTGCTATTTTCCATTGCAGTGTCTAACACTTGTCAACATCAGCATCTTCTGATGCTAATTTACTGCTGTACCTCTTCTCCATTTAGGCTATATCTTGATGAAACCGTTTTCCATGTTTTAACTGAAAATGCTGCAAGTTGAACGGAAAGAAATCCAAAAGATAATGCAAAAAATGAATTTTAATGACTTGTTGTAGATAATCCATGATCTTATATTATAAAACCAATTCTTTAACAATATCTTTGTAATTTACAGTTCTTTTGTTTCCCAAAAATTGTTGAGACACGTTTCCAAACGGAGACTCTTTTTTTTCAGTTTCATTTAATTTTTCTCCGAATTCCAGGTTCTTAAAAAGAGCGTGGATTTGTGGCCGAGAAATTCTTGAAACCCAACACTGGATTTCTCGGATTTTTTTCATGTTGTCAAAAATTTTAATAGCTTCAAAATCAAATGTTTTTTTGTTTTTTTATTGAAGTTTTCAATGATTAGAAAAATGCCCAAAATGTCGAAAACACCCCATTATTTGGTCTACAACACTAATTTGACATGAAACGGTTCCTGATAAATATTTTCTGATTTTTCATTCGTATTCAGTACGAAAACAACATTTCTGTTAAGAGTAGGATTTTGATACAGAACAGTGTAATTAATGAGAAAGTATCAAAAGTATAAACTCGAAAAATAAGAAATGGAACATGACAAAGGTTTCATCAAAAAATTTCGACAAACTATGCTCACATTAGGTGCAAGTATTTTAATAATAGCAAAATATAATTATTAAATTAATAAGAATTCTTACCTCTAATTCTATATTAAACTTTTTAACCAATCCAAGCTCTAGAAACATGCTCACAGAGGCCAGTATCATCTGATCTTCGTTTAAAGAAAAATCCTCAAAGGATAATGAATAAAGGTTCCACTCGTCACAAGCTGGAACTGGGAGATCCTATAAATAGAAAAATTAATGAAAATTTTTTAATAAACATCGGTCGCTTATGGTTTATTAAAATCGAAATAAATATTGTAAATAAAAATTGTTTTCAATCGTTTAATTTGTTTAAAATTTCTTTCTTTTATTTATTTAACAAGGCATAATTTATCAACAATATATATGTTGATTATTGATGATATATTTTTCATAATTAAAGTCTAAACCGTTTTTCTCCACGGGTACTTGACGTAAGTCGAAACTTGAATGACTCGCGTTGGATAACTGATTTCTGAGATACGTCCCTTTTACGAACATTATTTGCATCAATGAAATAGAAAATACGAGTCCTACTTTTATTAAACAGACTTTTAGCAATGTATTCAAGAGGAACTTAATTAAAAATTCTTTCCGATTTGGCGCTGAATGAAGTCAACTTCAACAAAAGACCGAGGGTTTAATTAAATCTTAATCGCATGATAATAATAGTTAATTTCAATAATTATTATATTTATTTTATATATATATATATACATATAATTGTACATATTTATTTGTTATTATGTTTACGACAGTGTGGTTGAACAGACAAATTCGATGAATTAAATTCAATAATCATATTTAGTTTATTATCACTCAAAAATTTGTAAGGAGGAAGAAATGAAAAGAAAAAAAGGGGTGTCGATAGAAAGGTGAAATATTTCAACTTTAAGGGGGTTTTGGGGCTTTAATACCCTATTTTAAATTGCTTCCACTTTCTTCCTTACAAAATAATAATCGGACGTTAGGACCCTTTTGGTATTAATAATTCCTTCATAGATCTTTTATAAGCCATTCAATCAAACTTTTTAACTTCTTCGTACAAGTTTCAAGTTATTTGTAAGCAAGCTTTTCATACCTTCTTATCAATCCAAATAAATTTGTTATTAATTTCATAGATAACATTAGTTGTTTTTGATTATATTTCAAATTTCTAAAAAATATAATCAGAATGTGCCAATTTTTCGATATTGAATATTTTAGGGATTTTAAGCGGCAAAACTTTATTATAGAGTCCTCACATAGTTACTAAAAGATCGTAGTCTGCTGTGATGAAAAATACAAATTTTAATAATGTAACATGAATAAACCTATATATATATATATATATATATATATATATATATATAAGTTAAGCGTCGGCGGACTTCAAAAATAAAAAAAAAAGAAGGAAAAGGATTGAGAAACAACACTAACGGCTTCTGAATAAACACTGCTATGTTCGTTCAATAATCTGCCTTATACACAGTTGTCATGTTTATTTACATTACAGGATGGTATTAAGGCTGATATCGCCAGTCTCCGGTCTTTATCTCCCCCCCACCAGTTTACGAATAGGATTTTCGGAAACTTAAAGATTCCTAGATCGGAGCCACCGGTACCAGCCTTAACACTTTACAATTGTACGTACAAGTATACACTTAAAAGAAACTGAAACTCACTTCCACTCAGCTGGAACGAGAAATAAATAAAAACACAGAAACTAAACAAAACACTTGCTTACAACGTCTTATTAACAATAGAACAGAACTCTTAATAAACTATAAAAAAACTACAATTGCCTCTACTGTATTGCTATAGCTCTATGTACAAAAAAAAAAATGACATCATCTTTATGTTTTAACAACCAGAAAAAAAAAACATGTCTCTTATCCACAGCGGTGAGGGTACTACCAATCCTTGGTTTATGTTCCGGTTCTATCATTGGGAGCTTCAATCGTTCAATGTGAACAGTTCTCCTCTTTTTAGGTTCGTTAATGCTTTCGATGGTTAGCAGATTATGCTCCCTAATAGCAACCAATCTGAATGGACCCTCGTATCGTAACAATTGTTTCCCCCTGTTGGTTCCTAATCTACGGTACACTATTGTTCCGATCTTTAGTTCTCCCATTTGGTCACGTACCTGCACATTCTGCCTCTCCACTCGCTTCTTCTTTTCCCGCTTAATTTTCCCCATTACTTTTCCCCACGTCTTCTCTACCTCTACCCTATTGCTCTGGATTTGCTCTACTAACGGTTCGGTAATCGTTGTTTCCCCACAATATCGCCTTGGCCTGCGCATCCCGAATAGTACTTCCACGGGTGAAAATCCCGTTGCGGAGTGAATAGAGTGGTTATATGCTGTTACCGCTTTTTTCATCGCAACATCCGGCTCCAACCCTTTTCCCCCCTGATATACACGGATGTGGTCACTCAGTGTGCTGTCCAACCGGTCGATGCCGCCTCTGCTTTTAGGATGTCTCGGGGTGTTATAGTGCCAAACAATCTCCAATCGTTTCACCTCCTCCCTAATCGCGGTATTGTCAAACTCCCTGCCACCGTCTGATGTGATCCTCTCGGGGACCCCATAGAACTGCACCCAGGTTTGTAGGGCTTCCGCAACTGCGTTGGCTGACTTGTCCATGACCTGATGTGCTATCGCTACTTTGCTGAAGACGTCGAGTATAGTGACCCACTTGAACCCTCTCCAGGTGAATGTATCAATCTGGAGGTCTTGTAGCGGTCCCTGTAGGTGTCTTCCTGAACTCCTCTGGGGGGATGTCGATCATATTTCGTGCGCATACATATCTCGCATTTCCCTATGATTTCCTGGATGGATCTTTTCATACCCCACCAGAAATATTTTCGACGTAATGCCTGCAGCGTCTCGTTCACGCCTCGGTGGTTGGTTTTCCCCTGGTGATATGCCAATGTGACTGCTTGCTGTTGCTCCTCGTCCTGTACGGTTTCCACCGCATACTTGCACCGAATGAATGTCCTGTCCACGCCTATTCGTTCGGATCTCCACATTTGCTTTATCTTGTCCCATACCGTATTATTCCCCACATAGAGATAATGCGTTTTACCCGCTTCCGTGGTGTCCCTCAGTGCCGTACAGATTTGCTCTTCCGACCCCGGGTTGCGACCAAATGACGCGAATCCTACTTCTTCCATATCTTCTGAAATCTATCTTCATGATCCCTGCTGTTCTCGTTTTCCAGGTCACCTGACGATGATTTCATCTATCTCGTCCATCTCCGCTGCTCTTTCCTCCGCTGAGCTCTCCTCTTCTGGGGACTCTTCCCTGTCCTCCATACCGACTGTATCAGTTGCCCCTTCACCATCAGGAGTCCATTCACTCAAGAATTGGCGCACGTCCGCGATGGTTATATTCCTCCCCTGTCCTCTTCTACCGCGTTGATCATGATGGCCCTAGAGAGCCAGTCTGCCACCACGTTTTCCTTTCCCGGCTTATACACCACCTCTATATTGTATTGGCTAAGGACTTCCTTCCATCTCGTGACCCTATCTGAAGTTTCCTTGAGTTTCCCTACCCACTGAAGGGGTTTATGGTCGGTGTGGACTCGAAACTTCCTCCCGAATACGTATGGCCTGAAATGGTCGATAGCCCACACTATCGCGAGTAGCTCCCTCTCCAAAGCGCTGTATCGCGATTCCGCAACCGTAAGCCGACGGCTCGCGTATGCTATCGGTCGTTCACTCTCACTTCCTCCCTGGGACAAAACGGCCCCTAACGCGTATTCGCTCGCATCGGTGGTTATATTAAATTGCTTCTCAAAATCCGGGAACGCCAACACAGGCTCTGTCTGCAACCTATTCATGCATTTCCGGATATTGTTCTCCATTTCTGGTGTCACCACAATCTTCGCGCCTTTCTTCAGCAAATTGTTGATAGGTACCAAATACTCTGCCATCTCAGGTACGAATCTCCGGTAATAGTTTAGCGTCCCGAGAAGCCTACGGATCCCCTTAACGTCCCGTGGTACCGCCATCCGTGTGATTGCCTCCACCTTTGTTGCATCCGGTCTGACCCCCTCACTAGAGATAGTGTGGCCTAAAAAATTAATCCGCATTTGTCCCAGCAGGGACTTCTCGCTCGACAGTTTCAGCCCAAATTGCCGCAGCCTTTCGAAAACTGATCTCAAATGCCCCACGTGTTCAGTTTCCGTTCTACTAAAAATCAGCAGGTCGTCCATGTATACTTGACATACCGAGTCATCAACACCCTTCAAAAATTCGTCCATCAGACGTTGAAACGTTATGGGCGCATTCTTCAGCCCAAACGGCATTCTGGTGAATTCATAATGCCCCCTTTCAAACGTAAACGCCGTTTTGTGTTGATCTTCCGGGTGCATCCGTACTTGGTGATATCCCGCCTTGAGGTCCAACGTGCTAAATACCACGGCCCCACTCAACCTATCGAGTATATCTTCGAATCTGGGGATCGGGTACTTTTCATCCACTGTGTTATCGTTCAATTTACGATAGTCTACTACTATCCTGTATTATTCCCTATTATCCCCCGGCACTGCCTTCTTTTTCACCACCCACAGGGGACTATTAAATGGTGAGGTACTATCGACTATGATCCCTTGCTCCTTTAGGCTGTCTAATTCCTCCCGAATATGCTGCCTCAGCGCCTGCGGGTATCTTCTTTCCTTCACGTAGGTTACCCTATCCTGCTTCAGTCGGATTTCATGCACCGTCCTCCCTGTTACCCCCAATACCTCGCCTTCCCTGAAGAAAATATCTTCGAACTCCGCTTGTAGCGACTTCCTCCAGTCCTCCACCCTGTTCACCGCTCCTATCCGCACCCTTCTTTCTCTCGCGACCTCTATACATGCTCGTCTTGAGGTCTCTCTCTCCTGCGAAACATGTATGGACACTGTCTCGCAATGTGCCCTTCGGTCCCGCACTCGAAGCATCTAGTGCGCGGACATTGTGCCACCAAATGTCCCGGCTTTCCACACCCATGACATTTTCTCTCTTCCCTCCGGGGTCCATTCCTCGGCCTTGACGACTGTCCGGATCTTCTTTCGCCCATCGTGGCCTTTTCTCCATTCTGTTGTCTTATGTCCCTCTTCCTCCAACCTGTCTGGGCTGTCCGGGGTCGTCTATCAGTCACTCGGATCCACCCTGGTTCCTCTACGTCCATCCGCGTCTCTTCCTCTCTTGCACTCAGGTCGATCATCTCTTGG